ACAGTAGTTTCCTGAAACAACTAAATGTTGATTTCTTTTAAAATGTCATCCCCCAAAATATTTGATCTGATTTGGAGAGGTTTAACCATTAGTTTAAGTCAGGCATCCTCAAATTGCGTCCCTCCAGCTGTTTGGGCCTCCAACTTCCTGATGCCCTTGACAGCTTGTTCAGTGGTTAGGGATTCTGGGAGTTGGAGGCCCAGACAACTGGAGGACTGCAGTTTTTATTAAGGTATATTGTTGTAAGCCCAGTGTGTGTGTGTTAAAGAAAGCCTATCAGAAGAGCCTTGCAAAGCGTTAATGATTAACTACAGCTGCAAAACTAGCTCAGCTAAGCAAGGCTAGGCCACACCTCTTGAATGTAACAATTTGAGGCTTGTGCAGACGGTTAGTCAGTTGGCTGTTTGAAATGCTAGAGAGCAGATGCAAGAAGCTTATGATATGGTGAAGTAACCATGTTTTATTTTGTTATGCTCTATGATTTATAACACAGAAGATTTATTCTGTATTACTTACAGAGACTATGTAAGTGTGCCAAGCTGTTTTATTTTCAACTCTACAACCAAGAGTAAAGTTCTACTGTTTTATTTCTTCTGACTGGTCTGTGTCTTTGGCATTGGGTTTTTGGACATATTGGACATTGCTACTGCGCAACAAATTGATTCTGTGTAACAGTTTTGAGGGTACCTGGTTTAAGCTGTAGGAATATATCATCTCAGAAAGACAAAGCATTCAATTTCAAATTGATTTATCACAGTTTCTGATTTTATATTTTGATTAAAATTAAGAATTTTAGAAAAAAATGTAGCCAGCCACCCACATTTACTGTAGTTAGGGGCACAGGACCTCTACGGAAGTGAAAAACTGCAAATGTTTTTTGAAAAGCTAATTTCTTTATCTGAGAGAACATCTCTCTAGGTATCGCTAGGTTCTCCAATATGACTCTCTATTCAGTATCCAGCAGAATTTGACCATAGAAAATCACATTGGAAGACCTAGAGATTCTCAGAGAAGTGTTTTCTCTAGGAATCCCTAGGATCACCACCATGACTCTAGGTCCTTCTGGTGGAAGTTGACCATAAAGTCACTCTGGAGGACCTACCAATTCCTAGAGTGAACATTTTTAATCAACTCCATAAATTATCAAACTTGCAAAAGCCAAATCTGCAAATGTGGATTGACAAAGGCAATGTTTTGAGTTTTTTCAGACAGTAAATAAGCTTAGCTGTTGGTAAAACCCTTCAGTTGTCCTTTCCAAAGAAAGAACTAGAGATTGTTGGAGGCTATTTAAAAGCTAACCCTTTACCAGGGAGAGCACAAGGGATAACATGAACAGAGTGTTTCCTTGAAGGGGACTACACCCAGCCCACAGCAGGGAGGGGGAGAATGGAAGGTGGGGAGAAGTTGAAGACCATTGAAGTCAGTTGTGAATGTGGCTTGGCTTTTCATTAAGACCCTGATATGTCACTATGTGGTATTTTATGGGGTGGAAGGGAAGAGTTTGCTTACATGTCACATTGATTTCCTGTCTCCACTTTTCCTTGGGATGGAATTCCCACTCTGCTTCCTCTTATTGTTCAGCTGAGGTCTTGGCCTGCTCCCGTCCGCTGGCAGCTTGTCTCGGCAGCCCATGTGTGCTTGCGAGGAAGCCTGGCAGACAGCCAGTGTGAGACTGCTCCTTCCAGCTGCTCCAAATTAATACTGTAAGGGGGCTGGAGAGGAGAAGTTCACTCACAGTAATGCTCCCCTGCCAGCTCTTAGAGCCCCTTTCCAGCAACGGGGAGCATGAGGCAATTACAGCGCAGAGTGTCTTTAATAGTACTTGAAAACTATTTCTGACATATTGTCCTTCCCCCAAGGCTCTCTCACTCACTCCTGCACATTCAACACACCATTCTGAGACAGTCCGGCTTATGGTCACTCAGATAATATTAGGGTTACCAGTTTGAAAATGAGAAAGTGTTATTGTTGTGTGCCTTCAAGTCCTTTCTGACTTACAGTAATCCTAAGGGATTTCTGGAACTGAGGATGTGTGACTCACCAAAGCTGCATATAGCTTGGGATTCCCCAAAAGGTTATCAATAATTATGTACTTAGGTAAATAATGTATTGAAAAGTCAGTCCATATAACATTTTTGCATATGTTACATGTGTTTAATGTGGAGCATCCCAGGTATTTGAAGGGTATCATATGCTATTTTAATTATATAAATAAATAATGTTGTCATGAAAAATACCAAGATAAAATGTTTACCATTATTTCATTCTATGCATGTGTGAGTTGCTTTTCAATAATTCTTTTTAGTTTTGACACTGGAATTATCCTAATAGGATGCAAACTATTGAAAACATAAAATACATCCTGCTCACATATGCTGTAAACTCAATATTTTCCAGTAGTGTGAACCCAAAGCTTGAACAGAACCTTGTTGAAGCATTTGCAGCTCTTACTTATATCAGATCTCTTAACTTTGGGTGGAGATGGACTGGGAAAAATGGGAGTGCAGAACTCCTAATCTCACTGAATATCAGTACACGGACTGTGACTTTCTCACATTAAGAAACATGTGAGATATTCTCATCTGGAAATGATTCAGAGTGTCTTCCAAATTGTGTTCTGGTTTCTACCGCATACCTGATCAGATAGAATCAGATCTTGGTCATGTTATGTGCAAAGTCTTCAAAAGAAATTTAATGAAGAATATTTTGTGCTTGCTGACATTGGAATGATAAAAGGAGACATAGTGAATGCTGAGGGGAAAGTAGTCTCACAAGATTTAACAGCTAAGCAATACTGCAAGAGAGGTTATGCTCATATTATATGACTCCTTTCAGTGACTGTAGCTCATAAAAGTATGTGTCTTAATAATTTTGTAGGTCTTTAAGTTCCTATGAGACATTTGGTTGTCTTTGCTGCAGTAGGCTTTATTGGAAATAGTCACTATTTGTTATTCCTGATGCACTGGGATCCAGGAGGGAATTGTTCTCTTGCTCCATCTTTAAGAAGGTTAAACCAGTAATTCATTGCAGAAGATACAGGAATAAGGAAGCAAGTGTGAAACAATTTTTCTTATAATTTATGAGATTAACCTGCCTATCTTAAAACAGATAGAGATTGCTCCTCAGTGAGTCCTGCCATTTCTTTTCAGTGAAAGACACAGAAAATAGTGGTTTTATCAGGTGCATTTTATTGGTTCAAACAGGAGTGTATAAAACCAAATAAGGTGGACACTTATTTAAATGAAATAACACAGAATGCTATCAGATTGCCAGTTTCAGGTATGCATATGTTAAAGCTAAGAATTGGCAATCGGAATGTACCAAAAAAAGTCAGAACTTTATTATATCTGTAAACAGATTCTTATATTTTAAAGGCACTTGGTTGAGCATGTGCCACTTAGGACACATCCGTTTCATGCCTGGGGACATTTTCAGTTATTTTGCTTTTCCTCTCTAAAATCACAGGCGATTCTTGTACAATGTTACTTTTCTGACATACAAACCTTAGTCAGCTAATGGATTTCCATTTCAGTTCTGATACTGTAATTTAAATCTGGGCACTAAAAGTTAGCAGCAGCATAACTAGAAAGAAGACGGAGAGTCTACGAATAAATGCATTCAAATGGTTATGTACACTTGAGCAGAGAGTGCTTTCTAATGCACCTAGCTTTATTATTTTCAGCATCTTCACAGTAGAGATTTTCAAAATTGCTACAGGCTATAACTTTTAATGCCTGATTCTGGTGGATATATCTTCTTTTCTCTTCCGATGTTGCCTATTCCTGTGTTTGTTTTGATCTGATTGAAGGACATCTTGACTGATTTAATGGAAACATGGGATATAATTAATATAAATGAATAATAATATCTCTTGAAGAGTAATAGTTATTTCCCACTAGAGTAGATCTATTGGATCAATGGATTTTGCATAAGTGATAACATACTATTCACTAATGGATTACTTTATCTTTACTTTATATCATTTATGTTATACATAGACTGGAGCAGTTTTTACTAATAAAAGTGTATATAGACATTTTATTTATTTATTTACCACATTTATATACTGCCCCTCTTAGCCCAGAGGCGACTCTACCAGCTCACTATTTTCTACCAGCTTACTGCAATGTCACAAAACAAAACAAGGTTTATCTTTCATGGAGTTTCCAAGATTGCGGAATGACAAAAGTTTGGTGGCTCTTGCTTACTATGGAACCATGTTGTTTTTCTATACTTTATGGCCAGTATCTGAGTATCATAGGCCCTTATATTGCTGGGATTGGACCCTCCATGTAATATAATTTTCACATATTGTGGAATCCTATTTTTCTTACAGTATCTTGGGCTTCCACAGAAACATACCATAGAATCGCTCTAGAGGACTTAGCAATGTTGACAGATGTATTTTCTGCAGGCCTCTTATGCGATTGTATGGTCAACTTCTGGTGGAAGACTTCTCTAGGCATTGCTATAAATCCTCAAGTGATTCTATGGTATTCAAAACTCTTGTTTTTGTCCTCTCCCACTGTGTGCTGTAGGCAACACATTGCCTTATTCCTTCGGAATAAGAAGGGCACTTGTCTCCTCCCACAGGTCCATAAACTGGATATGAAGAGTACAACCTGAATCTAGTGTATGCTTAAGAGAAAGGTCTGCTGTGACAGGTAGTGACTGAGGTTCAAACTACACCCTGTTGACACCAGTGTTTATTCTTGACATAGCAGAAGCCTCTATATGGAGTGATATATAAAGTGGTACTTTCCTCTATTGCAATTTAATAAAAATGTCAACATAGACATGTATATTGGCTATTTATAATTTTTAAAAAGAAAGTGCATGCCATTTGCCTAGCAGATATGTATTTACAAGTCCCCAGGATTTGGTTTTCCCGGGCTTGATAAGCCACAGCTTTCCCTTCTGAATGATGATGTAATGATGTGTTGCTCAACTATCTACAGCACCCAACATCAGTTAACTTTGTGGGTTCTTTCTTTCTTCAGGATGTTTGATGTGGGGGGCCAGAGATCAGAGAGAAAGAAATGGATCCATTGCTTTGAAGGAGTGACAGCCATCATCTTCTGTGTTGCTCTCAGTGCATATGACTTGGTTCTGGCCGAAGATGAAGAGATGGTAAGAAAAAGATCATGTTGATAGTACACTCTCCAAGGTGATGTCTTGGCTCTCTAGGATGAAAATTACTCCACTTTGGGTTTCTCACTTTTGGTTATTTAATCTGACCTACATTTTCCCTTAAGGTTTATACTTTTGGAAAACTTGGTGCCATCCTAATTTTTCTTCTTTTGGAGTGCCAGATACACGTGTTCAATTTTTACTGAGAAAACAATCCCCCTTTATTTAGTTTTTAAAATGACAATGTGAAACTCTCCCAAACAGAAATTGTACTTTTTTTACAGAGCATAGTACTTCCTATCTTTCCACATTTTCTTTATAATCGGTTTCAGCAGCTTCTGAAACATTTAATATTTTAGTATTTATACTTGCAATAGAAACAAAAGTTGGAGTTTCAGTTCTAAAGAGCTGAAGTTTACAAAATCACTGATAAGGAAAATAATTATGTCAAACTTAATATTTCAATTTATCTTTCCAACTCTACACCTCAACAGGAAACTGTTTTATGAATGGAAACATGTCCAGAATGCTTTGCCCTGTTCCCAGGAAAAGGGGATTGCTAGGTATTTAGCCAGAATTGCAGAAGCAAATCTCTTGTGCTCTCAGTAGTAGACCAAGCTGACCAGTTCCCTGAAAAACACAACTGCATTCTGCCAGTGTCCAGTTAACTGACCATGAATATATATCTATACAAATGCTCAATGGATGTGTGTGTATGAGCCTTCAAGTTGCCTGTTGACTTATGATGATTCCATGAATTTTCTTAGGCAAGAAATACTCAGAGGTGGTTTTGCAAGTTCCTTCCTCTGAAAACATAGCCCACAGCACTTGATATTTGTTTGTGGATCTCTCATCCAAGCACTAACCAGAACCTGCTTAGCTTCCAAAATCACATAGGAGCTGATACCTTTAGGATATTTAGGCAAGACACCACACATAGCTAACTAATTTATGTAATTTGTGCATGTCTTTAGTATAAAGTATGAACCAGCCTTTTGATTCCAGGGATGGTAAGAAGGCCTAATAAAACTGAACATACCATGCTCACTTTTTCTCTCTAGGCTATAGGTTAGTAGTTTAATAAATTAAAGCTGCCTTCTATTTACTCTCTGATCATGAACTATAGCAGAAGAAGTATGTCCATCGAATATGAACTACAGCTCCCAGAATAGCTAATCCATATAGTGGCTGGAGTTTGGGAAATTGTAGTGTAAACAGTATGCTGGCCATTGGTTTACCTACCACTGAGGTATGGGAATCCTATAGCCTCTTAACACATGCCCTAAATGTGCCTATTATTATCTCAACTTCAACTTAACTTAGGTAGACAAGTTATACTACAGGCAAATTCTGCTGTGTTAGCTTGTGGTGGCTCCAATAGAGGTTGACAAAGTCTTAGCTTAAACTTCCATATCTCAAAGCCTACAAAACCTATTTCTCCTTCCTTGCCTGTTGTTCCTTGCTGTTCTTGTATGATATTTCCTGACTCAGGGTATTTGTTGCCTCAACAGAATCGGATGCATGAGAGCATGAAGCTGTTTGATAGCATCTGTAACAACAAGTGGTTCACTGATACATCCATCATCCTCTTCCTCAACAAGAAGGATCTCTTTGAGGAGAAGATCATCCATAGCCCCTTGAGCATCTGCTTCCCAGAGTACACAGGTAAATTGGGCCACCTCCTCTTCTCCCAGCCTACACACACATATGGGAAATTAACTGCATCTCATGCGCCTATTTATACATTCCTGAACTCTTTTTGGACTGAGAAAATTATTTTTCATTTTTGAGCTAAAAGCTGGTGGTAGACACTGCCCAGGTCAGATCCGGTTTTATATTTTCCTTGGCATTTAATGATGAATTGCATACTTCAGCACTAATATGTAACTGGATATTTCCTGTGGGGTGAATACAGTTGAGAGCTAGGGATGATCTGTGATTTGGAGCTAGGACCAGCATTTTCATCTCTTGTCTGTGTTGGGTTTTTAGGAAACTATGAGGTTAATGCCTAATTTATTACAATGAAGTGAGGGCATGAAGTCTACAAATATTTCCATGTTCTGTTGCATTGTTTCCTCATGACCTTAAAGTCCATCATTATGGCAAAGCTTTTGTTACTATGGTTTTCCAGAATAAATATTTTATTCTTGAAAACACCACAAGTCTCCCTTTGGAGTTGCACTTCCATGTCACTAAGACATTACTTAACATGTCAGGGGTGCAGCTGAGGCACAATCTAACTCTGTATCTTAAGAAAAGGTGCAGAGCTGAAAATCAGGGGCTTGCATGTTGTTTCACCACTGTGATTTTAGCTAATTAGCATTTGGTAAGTGCTAGACTTCCGGAGGCCCACTTCTGGGCTTTCACAGCGAGAAAGGAAGGCGTTGTCCTTGTTTTTGTGCTTGTTCTGCATGGCAGGAAATGTGGAGATTGCTTCTGCCGATAAGCTTCTCTACCGTGTGAGGAAAGTTTGTCCCAGGTTGCACAGCTCCTCCTGAGTAGAAAAATAAAACAGGAAGACAAGTGTTTGGTATACAATCAAGATGTCGCTTTGTCAGTTACTGTTATCCTCCACCAGCCAGTTTACAACTCCCTCTAAGATTCAGGTTTCTAAAGAGCATGCAGCTATGTCGAGTCATGCTTTTGAACTTGTTCATCTTTCAGCTGGAGGGACAAGCAAGATCTACAGCAGCCTCCTGCTGACAATGAGATTTTAAGGGTTGTAGCCCCACATATCCCAGGAGGATGGCACTGCACTAGGGAAGGCTGATCTGTGAGGAATAATTCAGGCAGCTGGAGCCTGTACATCTTCAAGTCAAATGTATCTGATGACAGCTAACATCCAGATCTATGTAGAGAATTTAGCACTGTCTATTTTTCAGGAAGTGTTGCCTGTAGATTATCACATGCATTATTTTACAGTTCCACAGCCCAACTGGATTTGGTCTCTGGCATTTTCAGATTTGCTATTATAGGGGAACTGTCACAGGGTGAGCCAAGAATGTGAGCAGAATACCTCTGAATGACAGTTACTACTTCTGGAACACTCTCTTTTTCTTCTTTTTGGTTGTTTGGAGGATTAAAAGTTCACAAGGAAAGGAAATATCTTAATCAGCCACTTTGTATTGAAATTTAATCTGAGGTCCCTTCTGCACTGCCATATAAAATCCAGATTATCTGTTGTGAACTGGATTATACAGCAGGTAGATTCATATAATCCAGTTCAAAGTAGATAATGTGGATAATCTGAAATATAAGGCAGTGTAGAAAGGGCCTGAGATGCAGGTGCATCTTGGGGACTTTGCATTGTGGGATTTCTGAGTTCCTAGCTCTTGAGTTCCATGATGAGAAGCTAGTGAGATGATGCATTCCCCTTTATTGTTGGTGACTTGTCTTTTGCTGTAAACTAAACCAGATGCCGCTAAGTACTTAGCAGAAGAGGGAAACAGCAGTCCTCTAAGGGTCAGAATATACTACTCAATATGCATCACATTTCCCTACTAAGAAACTGCAGGTTTGCGGTGTTGCTAACAGCATATGCTGACCTCTTTAAGAACTAGAGCTGTTATTAATTTACCAAATTACCTGTGATTAATTCTGTTAGTAGTATACTGGAGGCCGAACTCCCTATATTTATAGGTCAATGAATCCAGTGATGGAGTACTATAGCCTTCCTGACTGCTCTCTTTTTCTGTATTTCATTTTCAGGGGCCAACAAATATGATGAAGCTGCTGGCTACATCCAGAGCAAGTTTGAAGATCTAAACAAGAGGAAGGACACCAAGGAAATCTATACCCATTTCACTTGTGCCACTGATACCAAGAATGTGCAGTTTGTCTTCGATGCTGTCACTGATGTCATCATCAAAAACAACCTGAAGGATTGTGGGCTCTTCTAGCTCTTCAGGTGACACCTGCTGAGGAAATCAAGAAGGTGAGTTGTTGCTGATGGAATAAAGTTACTTGGGACTGCTTCATACAAATTATGTCATGTTCACGTGAACAAGGGAGTATTTTTTCCAAGCAGAACCACTGGTGTCTTAAGGAATGGAGATCAGGAAGCTGAGGGCCTTGACTTGCTGAAGAGATGTGGTCTTAGCATGTAGGCTCACTTTATTTGCATGGGAAACAAAGTCCTTTCACATCCAGTGAGCTACCAACTCATTAACCACTTTGAATCAAATGGGAAGACATATGTATGGTTTCATACAGCTCCAGGTTCAGGAAGGCGATTCAGAGGAGTCCAGCACTGATCTAAGATTCAGTAGCAGACCATGCGACTCATATGTATTTTTGCCAAGCTGAGACCAGTACAGAAAAGGCCATGTGTAGGGATTCACCACTGTGCCTTTTCCAGTTATCTTGTAGTGAAAAATCTCAACTGACATACAATTAATTTGTAAAATATTTTTAAGAAAGCAAGCAAAGGGAAGACCAAAGTGTTTAGAAAACCCACTTGCCTGGATATATGAACAACTAGCATTTAGCTTCAGGACAGATTAGGGCCCAAATTAAAGGTTACACATATGAGGTGGGCGCAAGTTAAATACGTCTTCCATTTGGTATGTCTGTTAATCATAGCAGTGATTTATCTGGATATATAGGTGGGCATACCACTTTAAGTATATAAATGTTTGTGTTTCATAATAATGGTTAAAGTCAGAGGTGGTGGGTTATATAAGAACAGCTTCAGATGTCCTTTGTTGCCTGCGTTGCTCATGCATATTTTGGCTGGTTGTTTGAACATTGAGTGTTTATAGATATTTCTGTTCTCTTTCCACTACAGGATTACTTGAACTGCTCCATATGAGGAAGAGGCTGGTATTGATGAAGGGAGGACTGCACCATTTAACAACTTCTGCTTCTTAAGTTTCTGTTTTGTTCCTTTTTCATTTTCCCAATGAGGAGAGTTTGGCAACTCTGTCTGTCCAAGGGACAGGCCCCATTGCTTTCCCTGCTCTGTGGCATCCCAGGTGCCTCTTGCAGGCCATTTCTATCCTCTCCCTGTGCCCACAAAGCCTTACTGAAGCACCAATGATTGGTGGCCTGCCATAGCTGTAACATTTCCGTGTATGTCCTTTTCTTTCCTGTTAAGCTGAAGTGCAGAAGGTAGCAGGTCAAGAGGCGCTGGATATGTTTTTAATGTTGTTGCTTACATATTTTGAAAGAAACAATTTCTAAAGATTTTTTTGTTTGTTTCTGTTTTTGTCCAAGCAGCCCTCAATCTGGCTCTGCCAAAGCAATCCACTGTCCCCATTTGTTTTCCACTTTCCATCAGGGGTAGCTCTTGCCATGGGGCAAGCTTCTCAGCCCCTACCTCTGTAATTTGCACAGACCAGCAGGAAATCAAAACATTCCTCAAAGAAGCCAATTTGTGCAGAAAACTTCAGTATCTTTTTTTTTTGAAAAAAGGAAACCTTTTTGAAAACCTTATTTAAAATGTCACATAGTTAACAGTTGAGTTGCCCAATATGAATTCATCTTCTCTAGTAAATTTGGTGCCTTGAGGGTGTCTGTATGTTTACATCTGTTCCTTAGTTTGCTTCAACGTGCATTGTGTTTAGATTAGTATGGAATTGGTCCCCCTTCCCCCTTTTTTCCAGCCCTTTTCTCTCTTTCTGCTGTGGTCCAGGGTGAGCTTTTTATGGGGGGCGGGGGGCACCCAAGGATCTAAAACACATTTTTTCCTGGCCACAGGAGTAGGCTCCTAAGGGCTAAGATTCCACTAAGGACTAAGCAATGTCAATGTCAACTTCTTTTCATTCCTTTGTGCCCCACCCCAGGGCCTGGGGGGTTGATCCTGAGGTTGCTGTAATGTCGGGTCTATTTTAAAGAATTTTCTTAGCTCTAACTGTAGCGTCCGTTGAGGAAACACTGCTGTATGTAAGCGGTCCTGCCTGCCTGCCTGCCGTGCAATCGATGGGCACTGGGGCCATTAGTAACCGTCAAGACGCCGCCTAGCTTTTATCACAATGTTTTACCAAATTTGTTCACAATGTTTGAAATAATAAAAGGTAGAAAGAAAGCTCTGTTTGCACTGCATTTGCTTCTCTTCCGCTGCATCCCCAACAAGCCTGTGCACTTATCTGTGATGGTTCAGCGTGGGCTTTTGCATCAGCATGGGAAATTTCCTCTCCACATCAAAGAGATTTCCTGGGCAGTTCCTGCTTTGAACTGAGGCTATGAGAATGTAGCACGGCACCGAAGGAACATTTCACTGTTATGGCCCCAGGGCCCAAACTCTCAGTCTGGCATCATATGCACTGCAGGCATCTCATTGTTTGCATGTGGTTGGGTTGGCTCACTGACTGCCGACCACAGCATTCCATTCTGTGACAGCCAAAGTGGAATTAACATTTGGCTACACAGACTCTAGGGCAGAGACTTCTCTTTGTGTTTGGGGCTATGCTATAATGTAACCAAAAGGATCAAGGGAAAGACAGGAGATCCAGTCTTCTCCCCTTTTTGCATTCCATTAACATTCTTTGTAGTTTCGAGCATGACTTTTATTTTGTTTTGTTTACCTCCTATGTTTCTTGGTCAAAATCCAAAGTCTTGAACAGCCTGCAGAGTTGGAGATGCCTAGAAGGATGCATGCTGTTTTTGGAGCCTCAATAAGTGCAAGAAAGGGATGTGTCATGACTGAAGTGCATGAGATACTAAAACATGTGTGACCCTGGGGCCACATGAATCCCCGGATTGCTAGGTTGATTTTTTTATTATTATTATTGCAGTTCTTAACCATTTCAGGCTCTTGCTTTTTGAGTAAAGGGTGAACAGCAGCTTCTGGAAACTTCCAGCAGAGAAACTTTATATTTTAAATAGGTTGCATGGGGGCTGCTCCCTGCACTTTTAAAAATATAGTAAACAGTTTTTCAAAACCGGACATGGATTTTTGCCCATTTATTGCTAGCTTGGAGAGATACAGGAGGGTTCTGGCACAATTCGGTTCCTGGACATGTCCCAACCTAGACTACCATATATTTTATTTCCTTTAGAGAAACATGCTTGAGTTTACAATCTGACAGATCTTTGGAAAACACATCTAAAAACTCCAAAGGAACTTTGGATATGTAAATGTGCCGGGGATTTGGTTCTTTTCATCAGCACCCACAGTAGCAGGACATCTTACCTCTGGTTGCCATCCCCAGGTGAAGAGCTTTGAAGTCATGCATTCTGTATCATGTTCCCAATTCTGCTTTGATCCAACTGCACTTTGGATGTGTTACAAGGATATAATCTTTTGACATTGCAGATGCCTGACACTCTGTGTCCAGCTATAGGAAAACAGATGCATGCATCTGAAGACGAAGACTCAAATCCCCACCAGGCATGAAAACCCATTGGGTGACCTTGGGCAAGCTACAGCTTCAGAGGAGGCAATGGTAACCCTCGGTCTGAATGAATCTTGCCTGAAAATCCAGTGATAAGGTTGCCATAAGTGAAAAATGACATGAAGGCTATAACAAAAAAAACAAATACCCTTACTGATCCCAACTGCCTCTGACATCATAGAAATTGCCACCTTGGGGGAGACTCTATACACATTATGTTTGGGGAGAGATTTTAGTCATTGCTTTGTTAGAACAGAATTCCAACTTCCATATGAGTTGTGATGGCCTAAGTCCAAATTGCACAGTTGTAATTCACCTGCAGAAGAATGCCAGCCTATATATTGCTAGTCCATTACTAACAAATTAATTCTTTCCCTAAGCATCTTCAAACTATTTTGGATCCATGAAAGCCTCTATTTTTACAACTGAAGACCTCAGCCTGAAGATAATGAAAGATTAATGCTAAAATAAACCACAAGTCCACTGCTTACTATAGCTTGTGAGGGAGGCAGTTGTACATGTGAGCATACATGAACATGCATACACTGAGGATAATGGGAGTTAAAGGAAGATATGCTACATTCATTGTCACACCTACATAAAGTGTAACACTTAAATCAGTAGGACTTATAAGTAACAGCCTTTTCCTTTCAATGGATCTACTTTCAATAAGACAAACTATAAAATTAGCTCATTCTTTAAAAATGTTTATTTTTGAGGATTGTTAGGCCATTGAATACATCATCCAGTCATTGTGGACCTGCATATTATTGAAATTTTTGCAATGTTAGATATACTGGATATGGAATACTATTTCATATTAATGTTTCTCTTGACATTTGAAGGTTCTTTGACTAGAAATTTGTCAATTGCGCTATTGTTTGTCCAAAATGACACAACATTTTTCATATTTCTCTGTCCAACCTGAATTTATTAACACCACATATATTTGAGTTGTATATTACGTTTCTTTCCTTTTGTTTTATTATAGCACAACTCAGTTGTAAAGGACCTTTTCCAGAGGCACACGGGAAGGTATACACAAAATCAGTCTTAGGATAATGGTGCCTGGTGGATTCATTTGCAGGAGGGAGAAAATTAAGAACACAGAAGACCATAAGCCAGTGTTTTCAAGAAAATCCCATGATTTTGCAAGGGTTTTCTAATGCCTTCAGTATAGTTTCAAACCTCTTGCCAGGATAAAACCCAAATTATATAACAAAATCATGACCAGCAACTGATTCAGACACTTTATTTACAGTATGACCCCGCCCCCCTCCATCTGTGGAACCAATATATGCAGTTTTACTTATTCAGTTGAGGCCTCTTGTACAATCCACACTCATTTTTTTGATACTCTGTTATTTGTCCTATCAAAAATAATAGATTTTTCTGTTATCTGCTTTTTCACATATCCATGCAAATTCCAGGAACATATTCCCTGTGGGATGCTGTAAAGTTCCCTGCTTCTCCCTAAAAAAAAGAATGTGTGGTGCACAATTGCACAATTTTCTGGAAACTGAAAAAGTTGAAGCCCTTTGTTGATTTTTCCCTGTTATTCAAAAAAGTATTGTGTGAAAGGCCACTGAAATTGTGCCTCTGTCCTTATATAAAGAACCCCATTTCAGTGATGTCTATTTGTGAAACAAAAGGCTGGAGGAAAACTGTGTGGGCAATCAAACTGAAGTCTTAAGAAGCATTCTGCACTCCTGACTTGCTTTGACCAGGAGGTCAAAGTTTTTTTGCAGGAAAATTGGTCCATATCCATCATGTGAAAATATCAGAAGCTGAGTATCTACTGGTGCAACTGCAGTGTTCTCTCTGCAGGACAGAATTCTGGCACTCCAGTCCAATGTCTTTAGTAATCTGAGCATGCATTCCTCATTCATAAGAAGCAATGTGCTGTTCGCAGAAAGCAGGAGCCAGCAAGGAAAATATCAAATATAAATGGCAGGATTCAGCGAGCATTAAAAGAGGAAAGGCCATACAAGTTTGCAGCTTCTCACAGCTTCTCTATGATAGAAAAGAGATTCCAGAACAAGGAATATTTTTTTTTTGCTAGAGAGCCAGAGTACAGAGGAAAAGAAAAAGGTCAATCTTCTTGGGTATAGTTGGAAGGCTTTCTAACAGAGGTATCTGATCATCTCCAGCTCTGGAAATTCAAATAAATGCTTGCAACAAGGTGCATGTTCAATTTGTTTGTAACCTGTAGTGGTGGCCAAGCCTGCAAGAGGAAAGAACTGCTTCTGTATGAGTGGTTCACTACTTGAGATAGCACCCATATAAAGAGAGTAGAATGTATCATCTTGGGTAATGGGATAATTTTCCTTTCACTGAACTTTGCTCAATAAGCAATGCTTCTTTTGTTCAGACAGAGCAAGGATGCCTGTAGAAACAGTTGCCATGTGAAAAAGCAAAGCCTGCATGTAGTGCTTTTTCCTGGATTGCCACTTTGACATGTCCTCTTATCTCACTGTTCATTGCTTCCATCTTTGGTGAACAGGGCCTCAGCTACATTAGACCAAACATCCAGCTAGTCTGACATCCTAACTGGCGACTAAGATCTCAATGCCTCAGGGAAACCCCCAAGCAAGGCTTGAAGGCACTAACACAGCTCCTGCTGTTAAGGGAAGCAGAGGGACACTCTGGCATGCTGGTTTCTCATCCAGTATGTCTATTCCGACTGCCAGCAGCTCTCTAGGGTCTGAGGCAGGTGTCTCTCACATCACCTATTACCTAATGTAATGCCAGGGATGGAATTGCAATCTGTGGCCTTCAGTAAACAAAATATGAGCTCTGTCCCTTAGAGAAGGGCCTCCTTTCCCATGGCTCAGCAGCAATGACAAAATATCACATTGTTCTCCAGCAGAGAGCTATATACCCCCATTGTACAGATTATAATAAAAATATATTTTTAACAATATACACTGGAAAGTGATGCAAATTGGAGACTTGGGACCCATCTACACTGTTAATGTTGTTAATTTGCATTGTATGAGTCTACACTGACCATATTATGCAGTTTCAAACTGCATTATATGGCAGTGTAAATGAGACCCTGGATAGTATCTCCTTTCTGATGCTCCAGATTGTTTCGAAAAACAAAAGCAAGCTCCTGCGGTCAGAAAAGTCCACAATCTTTCAGGTTTTCCTTGATGATGATGTCAGTGACTGCATCAAATACAAACTTAACATTTTGAGTGTCAGTGGCACAGGTCATGTGTGAGTAGATTTCCTTCACATCCCGTCTTATGTTGAGTTCCAGGAACTGCAACTTGATATAAGCGCCTGCATCCTCATATGTATTAGGACCTGCATTAACATAGGTAATAAGGAGAGACAGATTCATTTCTCAGGACATGATGAAAAGTTCTGACTCTAAACTTTTTTTGTCTATTACATCTTTATTCCCCCACTTTCCCCTCATGAGTTCAAGGGTACATTAACTACTTCCTCTTTTTAACTACACAATAACATTGGGAGAGGAGCTCAGGCTGAAAAAGGGAGAGATACTAACCCAAGGTGATCAAGTGAGATTCATGGCTTCTGTGAACCCACCAGTGACCCAGATTTGCTAGTCCCACATCACCTATAAAACCAAGAAGATTTCTAGTCTTCTAGGGAAATGTGCTCGTGAAATAGAGTCTGATAACAACTACGGGCAATGAGACCATTTTCCAGGCATCAAATTTTAGTTTGGTATTGAACAAAATTATCAATATCAGATAGAATCACGGAACACTAGCAGCTAGTATGGATACAATTCTGAATTTATTGTAGAAACAAGAAACTGTAGATAACAGTGAACCTTATTGAAATAAATGACTTCTGCTGGAAGTTACCATAACCGCAGGCCCGTAGCCAGGATTTCGTTTCGGGGGGGGGGGGGCTAAAAAATTTTCAGGGGGGTTTCAGGGGGGGCTGAGTTTCGGGGGGGGGCTGAGTCTGAGTGAAAGGGGGTCTAGCCTAGCAAACCTTTTGTATCATTACCCCAATACCCCCATGCATATGGGATATATTGAGTATGGTGATCAGATCATGATATGAATAAACATAACAGTTTAAATAATGCACCAGTAAGGCCTTTTCGCGAACCACCATGAGAATTTCGGGGGGGGGGGCTGAAGCCCCTCAAGGCCCCCCCCCCCCCCCCCCCCGGCTACATGCCTGCATAGAGACATCCTGGAGAACCTTAAAACATTCTAGAGCTGTAAGAATTTGCTAGGTCCTTGAGGGTGATTCTGTGGCAACTTCTGGCCAAAACAGACCACCATAACACCTGGAGAACTTAGGAATTTCCAAGACAGGATATAATTTGTTGGATATGGGTAGGTGAAATCCCAGGCATCAGCCCCATGAGCAGATGAGTTGTACTATATTCTCTCTAGATATCACCTATATTGTTTCCTGATATATTTCCACTTAATTTTGATCAGGACTAAAATGTAAAGAAATAGGCAAGTGGATAAGTTAGAAGCCCAAACTTCCTAAACCACCACACCCTTAGAAGAAAGCTGAATTCTGGTTTACGTGGCAGGGAAGTGTGCAATGTTTCACAGTGCACTGATGCCCCCTGGCGTTCTGTTTCCCAAAGCAGTTCTCTCAAAAATAAAGCTACTTTCTGACTTTCATGAAAAATCGGACAATGATTAGTATGATAGGTCTGAGGCGACTTGTTCCTCTCATCAAAAATCACCAAGAAACTCCCATCCGTGTTGCCAATGTAACAAAATATGTGCAAGAGAAGCAAGTGTATACACAGACAAACAGATCCCAAATTCTTCCAATTTCTGGTAATAGCCCACCCCACTCTCCAGTTTGGCTGCTGCAGCTTTTACCAAATCAATATGATATGAGTTAGATTGTAGCTGCACACTACAAAAATAATAACATAATTATCCTGAAGCACACTGGAGCCATCTTCCATGTTTGGCTCATGGTTGTATTGTCTGGTGTGATGGGGGACCGACACTTTGCAAAAGCAAGCAGTGAGGGCAGTTGATCCCATAGTAATGAAGGAGGAGAAGAAGTCCTTGAAGAGGAAAAGAAGGAAGAGTGGGAAGCTATTTGGTGTTAATATTACGGTGCCTCTAGCCTTCCTGAAGGTGCTTGGAGAGGTGGTGCATAAATATACAGCCACTGCTCATTTATTTCTTTGATTTGTCTAAATGTATGCAATCTTCCACTTGCTACATTACTGCTCATTTAATTAAAATGCCAGAGTCTTTCAAGATCAGCCAACCTTTTAATGCACAGCCTCTAATCTCCCTGAAACATACTTCAAAAAGGAAAAAGCAACCTCATCTACTCTTCCTGCTACCTAGCATCCAAGAGCTTATGACTGCCCCTAACATGATAACTTTGCTGTATCCACACCAGTAGACATGCAGATTATGAACTCACCATCATAATCTGGGAAGCACATGTTGAGATGGGCCTTCTTGATCTTCTCCTGGAAAACATCTTTCTTGTTGAGGAAAAGGACTATGGAAGTAGTGGCAAAATACCGGTGGTTGCAGATGCTGTTAAAGAGGTGCAAACTCTCATGCATGCGGTTCTGGAAGGAGAAACAATCCAAATTGCTCTCTTCAGATACAGCCAGGACTCTTTTGCCTTTCAGTAGGCAACAGTGTGTATGCACACATCCTATCTCTTTTCTGGAAAATTTTCTAAAGCTGCAAGAATATTGAACCTGGTGATGCTGTCCTTCTCATCTCTAAGTACTTTTATCATAGTTAGTGGCTGAACTTTTGGGAAATAATAATAGTAGAAGAAAGACGTGTTACCAAAATTCCAAAGTGAACCAATGATTGTGGCTTTAGGAGATTTCATTATTATTCTCACTCAACTGTGCATTATATATAGCCTCCAAAGAGATGTCAAACTTTTAATTTCTTTTGCTGCTCTTTCCTTGGTGTAAGACATAGCATACACAGACTCTTGAAGAGTAAAGACACACATCTGTTGCCTTTTGAAACTTTAAATTAAATAACTGGGAAGTCCTCGGATACTAGATATTATTCGTGTTTCTCCTGATAGTAATAGGCCAGGGAGTCATATCCGCTCCATGGCACAGCTAGGCCAATTTTATTATTTCTTAATTTTAATTTACATCCCATCATTCCTCTTTTGCACTCAAGAAAGTACAATAAGATACCCATATCTGTAGGACAGTATCTGTGTTTCCATTTATCCACTTGCAACAGAATATGGCCTTTCTATGCATTTTCTAGGTTTCCTAATACAACTCTTAGAATCAAAGAATAATAGAGTTGAAAGAGACCACATGGGTCATCCGGTCAAACCCCCTGCCATGCAGAAAAAACAAATCAAAGTATCTGTTGCAGCCTAGCCCCCTATGTGACACCTTTTCACCCAAAATGAAGAGCTAATTAGTCCAAGTATAGTTCAACCAACAGGAATCAATAAACTAATTTCAATTTCATTAATCAAAAGTGTGTTGTATAGAAAAAGCTAGTTCAATAGTATATTCTAGAGTAAATAATAATAATAATAATAATCATCATCATCATCATCATCATTTAATTACTTATTAATCGCCCTCCATCCAAGATGCTCTAGGCGATTTACAAGCTAAATAATGATAATAATATCCTTGGCACTATCGCTCCAAAACTGGAGGCGCTGAATTATAGGCAACAATTCAGCATCTTCCACCTCCCTCGCCTCCTTTTCAGGGTCAAGAAGAGCCTCTGGAAGCATTTTCTGGGAAACATTCTCACTAAAAGCAGATCTGTCTATAAGGCAATTCCCATCATTCAGAGGACAGCTACTTTCTCCCTTAGACACTACAGGAGTGAGAGGCTCCAATTCAGACCCCAATTCAGGAGCACAAGGCTCCACCACCAAAGGGCCGCCCTCCTTCTCACACCAGCCCTCAACAGTATCCCTGACATATGGCCATCCAGCCTCTGTTTAAAAGCCTCCAAGGAAGGGGTTTCCACCACACTCTGAGACAGAGAATTCCACTGCTGAAGAAGTCTTACAGTCAGGACGTTCTTCCTAATGTTCAGGTTGAATCTCCTTCCTATAATTTGAACCCATTGCTCTGAGTCCTTGCTTCCAAGCCTGCCTCTTCTTGGGCTGGAGGCCTTTCATTGAACTAGGTTTTGCTTTTACCCATGGTTTTGTTCATGTGAAATCTGGGTACATATCCCTACAGGTACAGAGGTCATATTGTACTCTCCTCCTACTTTCTTATTCTAACCCTGTGAAGTAATGCCTGATCCCATCCCAACATTCTGGCTTACATTACACTGGCTCTATCCTTTACTTTTCAAGTACTGACAGTCAAAATCATAAAAATCGGGACGGGGTGACAATTGCAAGACCTCAAAATATTGTTGAACAGTATCCTCCAGTGACTCTGGCCAGCATAGTCAGGAACATTGGGAGTGAGGAACACTAGGAGTTGTGGTTCAAAACCATCTGGAGAGCTACTACATGATTTTCATTCTCGGTTCAATGCAATTTGGGGCTGGTACTCACCACTTCATCATCCTCCACCAAGACCATGTCATAAGCGCTGAGAGCAGCAATGAAGATAATGCAAGTGACTCCTTCAAAGCAGTGGATCCACTTCTTACGTTCTGAGCGTTGTCCCCCCACATCAAACATCCTGCCAGGGAGTTAAGAGAGACTGCTGTGAATAGGGAACCTGTGGATTAAAATCTAGAACCTCTGGACTGATTTGAAATGGGGAAACATAAAAACCCATCCTAGATCAATTCTTTAGGAGAAAAGTACTGCAGAAACAACATTAGCAGAAGGGAATTATCACAGGGAGGGCAGGGTTTAGGAATGGGAGGAAATATGCTTTGAATTAGACAGTAAACTGAAGGAAAGCTCTTTGAACATGTTGGAGCTTTGTAATTTTCACTGTGTGTCTTTAGGGGGCACTAAATCCCTGCAGAAATAAGCAAAATGTACTAAACTGCTAAGGAAGGAGCAGCCATGACACCCTTAATAAATCACATACACAATTGCAGAGCAGGGCAATACAGACTGTCTTCCACCACATTTTGCCCTTTACAGGCCAAATAGTTCTATGTTATTTCTGTGTGGGTCATAAGCCCACCACCTCTGTGAATCTTCCCATTTAACTGACTTCTTTTAGGCACTATAGCAGCAGGGAACCCATGTCTATGAAGGAAAATACAGGTGACACAATGGTGTACCGAGTTCTCAGGGAAACTTATGCCAAGCTCCAAAGGCAGGTAATACTGGCCTTCGTCCTGGATCTTTGATGTCATGAAGGCCTTTTTCCTGACCCTTTGCCACATCAGGAGACAGGAAACGAGTTTTAACATCACATCACAGTTTGAAATAAATTGCAAAATAAAACATGAAAGAGACAGAGTAGGGACAGGGCCATACAACTCATCTTTTCTGACAGTTGCAATCAAGGCTGCAACTGAACCTAAATCTCCACTGAAAACAACACGCTTATTTCTGACTGAACAGACATTGGTAGGATCACTTGGTCAGCATACCAATTACTTTAGTAACTCTTTGCCCATTGCAGTTGAGAAAGTGGGACCCAACTCACAAATGCCTAGAGACGTAGGCAGAGATGGAGCGTAGCATGAAAGTCACAAGGGTGAAATTCTTCTCTACCCCCCCCCCCCAAAGCCTACAGGTTAACAGTACATACAGTTAAGTGCTGCAACCTCAGCTCCATGGCCATTTAATGGATGCTGGAGTATTGGGGGTGGGGTTTCAGAAATATGTCAGGTAATGTTGCTCTAGCCCAGTGATTCTCAACTCCCAGAAATCCCAGCCAGTTTACCGGCTGTTAGGATTTCTGGGAGTTGAAGTCCAGAACATCTAGGGACCCACAAGTTGAGAACCACTGCCTAACCAGACAAAGAACAATGATGTCATCTGCCAAGGTCTTCTGAAATCCCCAATTGCCTTATCAAATTAAATCTCTGTTCTAGTTCTGGACAGAAGGACACAGCTAGATCCTTCTTTGATCTCACCCTCCACCAAATACCAGGGGTCCCTGAGGTGAGGGCTGCATAATCTGACTGCAGGTGAATTGGGGGTGGGGAGTAATTGGGTAAGGGCTGTAGAAAATTTTGACCCCTGCAATGACCCATCCCCCCCTCCCCCAACAAAGGCTTATGAGGGTATATGTTGGATTTATGCCTTGCAAGTCACTAACAGGATGTGAGCCAATATATAGTGCTTGTTTAAGGTTGCCACAGGACTCTGGCCTAGATCAAAGAAGTATGCATGCATATATTGTACCTGAAGTTGAGGTCCTTCAAACCAAACTGGGTTTCAATGATGCCTGTGGTTTTCACTCTGGAACGGAGAACGTCCTGCTCTGTGGGGACATACTCAGGTGCTACCAGCCGTCTCAGGTCACTCAAATAACTGCATGCATAGAGAAGTAGAAGATAAGATCTAATGCATGAACCCGCTTTTGGTTACCCCTAGTTTTTGTAGAGGACAGTCACATTCCCTATACCCATGTATGCTGCACAAGATGCATATCAGGTTGTGCGAACTCAAAAAGGTTAAGCCTTTCTAAATGGGAAAAATGGCCAATGTAGCTCTCATAGCTAAATGTAACCACACTCTACAACCCAAAGTTTCACAGTGACTACTCTTCTGTCGGGCTTTAAATGCACATCACATACTGTTTGATCTTGGAAGCAAAACAGGGTCAGCCCAGGTGACTACTTGGATTGGGAGATTGCCAGCAAAGATAAGATGCTGTATACTATATTTCAGAGGAAGGGGCTGGCAAAATAGCCTCTGATTATTCTTTGCCTTAAAAACCCTATGAAATGCATGGATTTTCTATAAATTGGCAATAGATATAGTCATATACACATGCTTTTGCCACCCCCTCCGATTTTATCCATATTTATTCCTCCTATTCACCCAAGCTGTAGGGCTTCATGATTCTCAATATGTCCCTCATTCTTGAACTTTATCTCTTGTATTAGTTTCCTAGGATGACTCAGGGAAGGAGGAGAAAACAGCTTGTTTGCAGCAGCCTTTCTTGCCTAACTTCTTATGCTGCTTCATCTGGTTACCTGTATTTTCCATCAAGTCAGAGGGGGAGGGACATCAAAGAACATACACAAATAAGCAGAGGTTTCAGCTCTGTGGAAAATGGGATAAAATATATGCCTTCACATTTTCTGCCACACACACGATGCTTTGGAGCAATTTGCACATTCACTATAAGGGATACAAAGGCGAGGGCCTTTTTGGTAGTTGTTCCAAGATATCCGAACTCCCTCCCTAAAGTAGCTAGAATGCCCACTCCCCTACTCTTTTTTTCCTATTCTATCAGGCTTTTTGAAATTGACTGTAATGAGCTTTTCATGGTTGCCTGTAATGCTAACAAAATCACTTCTATTCTTCTGTATGTTTTTTGACATCTTTGCTTGGTAGAGAAGCCAGTAAAGCCTCACAAGTTAGCATGATGTATTTTCTGCCTTTTGGTTGACTAATAATAGCATCACTCTTTTCTGGGTTTTGGATTTCATTATAGCAATAATAGTGCAAGCCAAGAGCTCCTACTAGCCAGCCGAGTCATTCAGCTGGTACTCTGAGGCCCTCTCAAAGCAGGCTTGGATGCCGGTGTCTTCCCAGAGTCGGCAAATGATGTCGGACATCTCTTTCGGCATTGTGCCCTCTTCAATGGTATCTGCCAAGTGCAGCAGTTTACGAGAATCATCCTGCAGTTGGGAACAGGAGACCAAGCACAAGTTGAAATACTTTCTCCCTTTCAGTTTTAATCCACACTCCCACAGTTTGACTGCAAAAAGAAGGACCCAATGTACTCCACTCTAAGATTCTGCTGGAGCCCTGGGATCATCTGAAGACAACTTTTGGTTGAGACCAAAGACAGTACTGGTTTTCTTACAGTCTTATTTTTTATTTCAATCTATTCTGTTTTCTCTTTGTTTCAATGCTGTGAAAACAGCAAAACATGAAATTGCAACTGTAGTATCCACTTGAGTTTGGTTCCAGGACCCCCCATGGGTATCAAAGTATTTTTGATGTGTGTGTGTGTGGGGGGGGGGGGGGGGGGAGGATTCAATTTTTATTCATAATTTCCAAATATTTTTTCCAAAAGGTATGGTAAGGAAATGGGAATAGGTAGGGTACTCGTGATAGTGTTAGTAAATTAAATCTTAACAAATATCTAGTAAATGAATGAGGGGGAGGGAAATGGTATAGAGGACAAGAGGAGAAACATTATATGACATCTCTTTAGGTCTCTTCAATTCCTCCTTCTCTTTTTTCTGTCTTATTTGTGTTATTTGGCTCCTTCTTTTGATCTTGCTGTTGCATTTTCAATTGCTGATCTTCAGAAGCTAGATCATCCATCTTAGAACTGATTATTTGGGTGTTAATTAAGATGTTGTGCAATGTGTCCAGTTTACTAATAGCTTCTTTGGTTGATTCATTTAGAATTTCTTTCGATTGATCCTCTTCATTATACTAAATGTTTGGATTAATTAATTAAGATGTGCAAGCACTGCCGTCCTTTTCTTTTTGTCCACTGGATGTCGTAATCCTGCAAGCTTTCAGCCAGTTGTCTATTTGTAAACAAGCACAAGAATGTTTATTTTAAAAAGATATAGAACGAGTGTGTTCTGACTCATTTCAAAGTCATTCTCAGGAATCTTCCTTTTTCTTTTCTCTTTAGTCAAACAAATTACAATTATTGCAATTAGTTTAGTTTATTTATTTATTTATTTGCTGCATTTGTTGACCGCCGCTCTCAGCCCTAGGGCGACTCGCGGCGGTGTACAACATATAAAAACAGTTTACAATAAAGCACAACAAGAAATCAACATATCAATAATACACACTAATCTAAATTACACTAACTAATCCGCACCGTCATAACATAGAATCATAACCAGTCTCATAATCCATATTCCGTTCCAGATGTCATTACCAGTCAATGTAGCACTCAGTTAAATGCCTTCTCAAATAGCCAGGTCTTTAGGCTCTTACGGAAAGCCATAAGGGAGGGCGCCTGTCTGATGTCAACAGGGAGGGTGTTCCACAGCCGGGGGGCCACCACCGAGAAGGCCCTCTCTCTCGTCCCCGCCAGACGTGCCTGTGAGGCAGGCGGGATCGAGAGAAGGGCCTCCCCAGATGATCTCAAGGCCCTCGTGGGCTCATAGGCCGAGATGCGGTCAGAGAGGTATTTTGGGCCGGAACCGTTTAGGGCTTTGTAGGATAACACCAGCACCTTAAATTTGGCCCGGTAGCAAATCGGCAGCCAGTGGAGCTGGGACAACAAGGGCGTTGTATGCTCCCTGCGTCCCGCTCCCGTTAGCAACATGGCTGCCGCGCGCTGAACTAGCTGAAGCTTCCGGGCCGTCTTCAAGGGCAGCCCCACGTAGAGAGCGTTGCAGTAGTCAAGGCGGGATGTGACCAGAGCATGTACCACCGTGGCCAAGTCAGACTTCCCAAGGTACGGGCGCAGCTGGCGCACCAGCCTAAGCTGTGCAAATGCTCCCCTGGTCACTGATGAAACCTGGGGATCCAGGCTCAAAGATGAATCCAGGGTCACACCCAAGCTGCGAACCTGCGCCTTCAAGGGGAGTGCGACCCCGTCCAGCACAGGCTGTAACCCTATACCCTGTTCGGCCTTGCGACTGACCAGGAGTACCTCTGTCTTGTCTGGATTTAATTTCAGTTTGTTCGCCCTCATCCCGACCATTACAGCGGCCAGGCACCGGTTCAGGACCTCGACAGCCTCCTTAGTAGCAGGTGGAAAGGAGTGACAGAGTTGGACATCATCTGCGTACAGATGACACCGCACCCCGAAACTCCGGATGATCTCACCCAGCGGCTTCATGTAGATATTAAACAGCATGGGGGACAGTATGGAACCCTGTGGAACCCCACAGGTCAAAGGCTGTGGAGTTGAACAGGAGTCCCCCAATAACACCTTCTGGGTACGGCCCTCCAGAAATGACTGGAGCCACTGCAGAGCAGTGCCCCCAAGACCCATTTCCGCAAGGCGCCCCAGAAGGATACCGTGGTCGACGGTATCGAAGGCCGCTGAGAGGTCCAGGAGCACCAACAGGGACACACTCCCCCTGTCTAGCTCCCGGCGCAGATCATCCACTAAGGCGACCAAGACCGTCTCGGTTCCATGTCCCAGTCTGAAACCAGACTGTGCCGGATCCAGAATATCCGTGTCTCTCAAGAATACCTGGAGTTGTGAGGCCACCACGCTTTCCATGACTTTGCCCAAAAAGGGGAGATTGGAAACAGGCCGAAAGTTGTCAAATTTAGTGGAGTCCAGTGATGGTTTCTTCAACAGCGGTTTTATAATTGCTTGTTTTAAGCACGCTGGAAACTTGCCTTTCCGAAGGGAGGCATTAACCACCACCGTTACCCACTCAGCCAATCCCCCTCTGGCCTCCTTCAGAAGCCAGGATGGGCAGGGGTCTAGGATGGACGTGGTGGGCCTCATTCCTCCAAGTATCTTGTCCACATCCTCGGGCTCCACAAACTGAAAAGAATCCATCAAAATAGGACAAGCAGGTGCTCGTGTCACATCCTCAGAGACTGCATTTAACATGGTGTCCAGCTCAGAACGGATCAAAGCGACTTTGTCTGCAAAGAACCGAGCAAATGCTTCGCAGCGCGTGACCGAATTGTCAGGGCTCCCGCCTGAGGTGGCGGGAGTTAAAAGACCTCTGACAATCCGAAACAACTCCGCCGGACGGTTTTTTGCAGACGCAATAGTGGCCGCAAAGAAAGTTTTCTTTGCGGCTTTTATTGCCGCGGCATATGCCCTTAAAAAGGACACAACCCGTGCTCGATTTGACTCGCTTGGGTCCGAGCGCCACACGCTCTCTAGTTCCCTCTTCCTTCGCTTCATCGCTGCCAGCTCCTCAGTAAACCAAGGAGCTGGTTTAGCTCGGCTACTTGAGAGGGGACGTTCCGGAGCGATCACGTCAATTGCCCTGGCCATCTCCCCATTCCAGAGAGCGACCAAGGCCTCGACATGGTCACCTACCGAGGAGGCGGGAAAATCCCCAAGAGCCGTCAGGAATCCATTCGGATCCATAAGCCTCCTGGGGCGGACCATCTTAATGGGTCCTCCACCTTTGCGGAGGTTAGGGGAAGCAGTGAGCCTAAATCTGATCAGGAAGTGGTCAGTCCATGGCAACGGAGAGATAGACAACTCCTCCACACCGCCACCCTGGTCCCATCCCTGACAGAAAACCAAGTCCAATGTGTGTCCAGCACAGTGGGTGGGGCCAGATATTTGTTGGGACAGCCCCATGGTTGCCATGGCAGACATGAAGTCCTGAGCCGCTCCTGTGAGGGTCGCCTCGGCATGGATGTTGAAGTCTCCCAGCACAAGAAGCCATTGAGACTCCAACGCCAGGCTCGAGACTACCCCCGCTAGCTCAGGTAGGGAGACTGTAGTGCAGCGAGGTGGACGGTACACTAGCAGAATCCCTATTCTGTCCCGGTCACCCACCCTTAGGTGGACACATTCAAAATTTGTGGTCTGCGGGATGGGGCTCCTGGTCAGATGGATGGAATCTCTATAGACCACTGCAACCCCGCCTCCCCGTCCTCCAGATCTCGGTTGGTGCTGTACGGAGAAGCCTGGAGGACAAAGCTGGGTCAGATTCACACCCCCAGCTTCATCCAGCCAGGTCTCCGTAATGCACGCCAGATCTGCCCGCTCATCCAGGATTACATCCTGGATAAAGGTCGTTTTTCCGTTGACAGATCTGGCGTTCAGCAGCACCACCTTCAATCCAGAGGGCCCGTTCACCTGGTTACACCAATTTACCTTAGGAGACCGGTTTGGGGTTATTAATGTTGATAAGCGGTCCGAATTAGGCCGAATTTGAGGTCTCCTTTTTCCGCATCTCCTCCTCCCCACCACGACCTCTATGGGGGCCCCTCGGCTAGTGGAACACCTCCCCTCCTCCATGCCGCAATCCAAAACCAAGGTCTTAATTTCTGTTTCGCTAGATGTTTGGTTTGTTGGCCCTTGCCAACTCCCTTGCTTCCCTTCCTCCCCCCTCCCCGTCTCATTATTATTCCCAGGCTCCAGCCCACTTCCTCCCTTGCCCTTTCCACTGGTTACTAATAGCAGGGACAACACAAATAGGGGGATGGGGGACCACATGGATAATGATAAACCCGATGATACTAGGCGTTTCAGCCACAGCAGTTAGAAGTCCGTAAAGTGCAGGATCTTAAAGTGCAACACAGTCAGCAATACATCTGCATGCCGTTGGGCAAATTCCTAAAGTGCAAAGATCTTAAAGTGCAACAATTACTCGAATCTGGCTCTCAGCGCTAACTAAAGTGCGGCATAGAGGGTAGGGAAAGGGCGTAAGTGCTAGTACAGTTTAGCAGCAATTAGGCAGGCGCCTTGGTGCTATCTTGCGTTCTTAATACCAAATTAGCAGCAAAAGGCAAATAAGGAACGTACTATATTGGTAATATGTAAACACACTATTAAGAAGTTATCAATGATAACAATTAGATAGAGGTATTATGATTCAAGGTGTAATCTATGGACGGCTGATGTAAAAAGCGGAGATGGTCTTCCGGAGTTTTCCGGAGATGGACGACACGATGGCGGTCCACACAAGTTGGACAATATCGGACAACACAGAGAAAAGGTCAGCACAAAAAGGTCTACACAATATCGGTCAACACAGAGAGGAACAGCACAACGAAGGTCTGCACACGGCTTGCCCAGGTGGTAAGGCCCAGGTGGTAAAAGGTGGTGAAAGGTGGTGGGGCCAGGGCCCGATCCAGGCAGCCCCCCGCGGCGCTGCGGCCCGCCTGGCAAAGCCCAGGTAGTGAAGGCTCAGCGACCGATACAGGCTCAGATGGTAAAGGCCCAGATGATAAGGGGTGGCTGTGTTGGGCGATGATGGGCCCGGCGGCGGGGCGTCCTGTACAGGCCGAACGACGAGGTCAGATGGTAAGGGCCCAGCTGGAGCAGTGCTCACGGCCCAGCGGCCCGCCTCACAAGGCCCAGATGGCAAAGGCCTAGTTGGAACAGCGCCCACGGTGCTCGAGGCGGCAGCGGCCCCGGCCCCAGCAATAGGCCCCAAACTCGCTCCCCACACTCCACAGAGGGGAGAACGGGCCCAATGGCAAGGGCAGTAGGGCTCGGACAGCCAGGGAAGCAGCGCCCACGGCGCTCGAGGCGGCAGCGGCCTCGGCCCCAGCAATAGGCCCCAAACTCGCTCCCCACACTCCACAGAGGGGAGAACGAGGCCCGATGGCAAGGGCAGTAGGGCTCAGACGACAGCTGGCGGCGGCGGCGGCCCGCCTCTTCTCGGCTTCCTGGCTGCCTGGCTGCCTCTCCTCCAGCCACCTCCACACAGACGCGAGATCTGGCAGCGATGGCAAAACGGCAAGACGCCAAGATGGCGACCGCGGCAGCCGCGGCGCGCTCCGCAGCGTCCCAGCAGCAGCAGCCTGGGCGGCCCCGGCCCCAGCAATAGGCCCCAAACTCGCTCCCCACACTCCACAGAGGGGAGAACGAGGCCCGATGGCAAGGGCAGTAGGGCTCAGACGGCAGCTGGCGGCGGCGGCGGCCCGCCTCTTCTCGGCTTCCTGGCTGCCTGGCTGCCTGGCTGCCTCTCCTCCAGCCGCCTCCTCCACACAGACGCAAGATCTGGCAGCGATGGTAAAACGGCAAGACGCCAAGATGGTGACCGCGGCAGCCGCGGCGCGCTCTGCAGTGTCCCAGCAGCAGCAGCCTGGGCGGCAGCGCCGCAGGAGGGCCCCCCAGCGGGAACCGGAGCCCGAATTGGAGCCCCGGCGGTTCGGCGAGCCGGACGGACCAGGCCCAGGTAGGTAGCTTTTCTTGAGGGGTGGCCGCGTTGTAATGGCGGCGGCGTTCCCTCGCCTACCTCCGCCTTCCTGGCTCTCTCTCTCCCTGGCTCAATCGCCCCCTCCAGCTCTCTCTCAGGTCTAACCAGACCGCAGTGGGTGCCGACCTCACACCCCCTTATTTGGTGGTCAGGGGGGGAGGATTTTCCAAGATTATTCTTTCTCTGTTCTTTCTCTGTCAGCGCAGCTCAGCGTTGCTGCTGCCGACCGCCATACCGGAACCGGAAATATCCTCATTTTACAGTTATTTTTATTTTACAGTTATTTTTAACAAGAGGTGTTGCACCTGCCTTTCCATTTTTAAGATTAACCCTCTCCTCCTTTTATTCTCTTCTGTTTCCTTTCTCCTTCCATTGTTAACTTTTCTGAACAGACTCACTTACTTTTAAGACATTTATTAATTTCAACTCTCTTTTGTTTATCTGTTGGATTATTATTTCATAGGTAATAAGATAACGGTCCTTTACTCATTAAACCAATCTTATCAGGTAGTTGCCAGTTGTTGTTGTTCATTTGTTCAGTCATTTCCGACTCTTCGTGACCTCATGGACCAGCCCACGCCAGAGCTCCCTGTCGGCTGTCACCACCCCCAGCTCCTTCAAGGTCAGTCCAGTCACTTCAAGGATGCCATCCATCCATCTTGCCCTTGGTCGGCCCCTCTTCCTTTTACCTTCCACTTTCCCAGCATAATTGTCTTCTCTAGGCTTTGCTGTCTCCTCATGATGTGGCCAAAGTACTTCAACTTTGTCTCTAGTATCCTTCCCTCCAATGAGCAGTCGGGCTTTATTTCCTGGAAGATGGACTGGTTGGATCTTCTCACAGTCCAAGGCACTCTCAGAACTTTCCTCCAACACCACAGTTCAAAAGCATCTATCTTCCTTCGCTCAGCCTTCCCTAAGGTCCAGCTCTCACATCCGTAGGTTACTACAGGGAATACCATGGCTTTGACTAGGCGGATCTTTGTTGCCAGTGTGATGTCTCTACTCTTTACTATTTTATCGAGATTGGTCATTGCTTTCCTCCCAAGAAGTAAGTCGTCTTCTGATTTCCTGGCCAGTCTGCATCTGCAGTAATCTTTGCACCTAGAAATACAAAGTCTGTCACGGCCTCCACATTTTCTCCATCTATTTTCCAGTTGTCAATCATTCTTGCCAGTATTTAGGGGTAATTAGGAATTCATTGTTTCTTCATTCTTCTCTGATCCCTCCTTCTTCTCTGTTCATTTAAATAACCTTCAGTACCCAGAAAATTCTACCAGGAAGGCTGTAACCCGGGATGTTTCCCCAATTGACTGCCTTGCTAAGGAATCTGCAGAGATTCCTTACCCTTAGTCACAAATCAGAGCTGATGGCCAAGGAGCTGGTCCATCAACCATCTAAATTGCTGTCATGCCGGCACCAGAAGTCAGGGTATCAAAGTATGTTGATGCTCAAATGGGAAGTGAAGCAGTTATATAATGTTTCTTATATAAAATAACAAAACAAGGCTTTTTTCAGATTAAAAAAAATAAGATGTGTATGGTTGAATCTGTAGATGCAGAATCCATTCATCCATGGATTTCGGAATCCACAGACGGTCCTAGAACCAAGTCTCAGTGGACGGCAAAGCAAAAACTGCAACAGCAAGAACAATCACTGTGGGTTCTAAGATGAAGAGAAAAAAAGACTATTGGAACCAAATCCTCCCCTTACTGTCTTACCTGCCTGGCTGTGTCTCCATATTGGATGCTGAGTGTGCCCATGGCCCTCACAATGGACAACATAGATTGCAGAGTGTTGCTATAGATAATTGCGATGAACTCCAAACACTCCTCTAAGGAGTAACCCTCCTGGTGGATGATTCTGTAGAATATAAGAGTAAAAATTCACCCCAGAACCCACTGTAGCTGGCCATTGTCAGGACTTAAATGTGGAACAAGGGCTCCTCAGAGGATCTGTAGGGTGTCAAATAGGAAAACAAGGATGGTTTCACAGTTAAATTGACAAGGATGGAGACACCAGTGACTGCCTTTGTCCAATAGCTGTTCTCTGGAGGGGGCAGACATAGGGCAGCAGAAGGGCGAGGGAATAAAGTATATCATAATGCATCATTGTGGAGGAAATATCATGCGATTTCATCCAGTCTACTGATGCAGATGCAAGGAGGATTTTGAGGCTGTTCCTTCCCTGAGATAGTGTTGGTGCCCAGTATATGCTTGCCCTCAGCTGTATCTTCTTCTCCCTAAGTGCAGAAGAATTTCTACTACATTCTTTCCATTCCCCTCTGACACCTAATATTACTATAAAGAGATGCAAAGGACAAAGACAGCCAGTCATATTTTCCTGCCTGCTAGAAGGCAGTTCTGTTCTTGGAAGCCACCTTGTGTCCCACACCAGGAGATGCGTGAGAGAGAGAATGGATAGATTGTATCTGGCTTAATGTTTTGTCTGTTGGCAGGAGAGATATCAGAAGGGAGCACACAGACAATATCTGGCAAGGGTGGACAAAGTTTGGCCCTGGGTTTTCTCCCCACCCCCCAATATGTTCCTATAGCCTTTCCACAACTTCCCTTCCTAAGGCCAAAACAAGGGCAAACTGCCTTTTCTAGAACCCCCCATTCCATACTCCAATTCATCTTTTTAAGAAATCTAGCCCCCCCCCCCTCCACTGAGTATCAAAACCCACCTTTTTTCAAAACAAGAAGTGCTTTTAGGGAGGGGGTGTATTTGGAGTGGTCCCTGTAGCCCTACACGAACAATAAACTGGCCCCATTTTTGCTATAGAGGGAATTCCTGACCAATGTATCTGAATGATATGGCTACTTGGAGGTAGCACATTTACGTCAAGTTTCCAAGTATTATACAAAGTAGTTCTGTAACACATAGAACAATGCACTTTTCTGTAGAGCCAAAGGCATTGTGCTACATTATTGGCCACTTCTAGATGGAAGTGGTAAAGTGCTTATTGCCATAGTAGTTGACTTATTAAGTTATCCATCTTGGTATACTTTCACCATTATTTCTTAAGAGATGGTGTGGCAAAGATAAAAATACAACTACTTACTTCATTTGTTTGACAATGGTGCTTTTGCCAGATTCTCCAGCTCCTGGGGAAACAGAAATGGAGATTAATGTCTTCTGTCTCCAGAACAAAGTTCTGTCTATGTTATAGATTCCATGGCACAAAATACACACCAGATGACCACAGCAGATTACAGTGGCAGAAAGTGGCTTCTTGGTCAGTGAGGCAATGAAACCATTCCATGTTTTGCTACCTTTAAAGGTACTGTCCAAAGTGCTGGGCCTAATTTAAGAATAGGTTTAGCAACTTGGGAAAAACGTTTAGAGCATGAATTAAAGACTGGAATGAATTTACTACCCTAATGATAATGGGAACCATTTGCTACTACTGGCAGGTGAGTTTCATAGAAACAGTTTTTCAGCCCCTCTTTCCAAATCTACAAATGTGCTGTTTTCCTTTTTCACACTTCCATCAAAAGTGGCACAAGATGCCATTGCCCAGTGATAGAGCACACAGGTTATGTATTGAAGCTTCCAAGTGTAGTCTTAAGTAACTTCAATTTAAGGATCATGGCTGGGTATGGTCTTCAGCCAGCCATGACCCAGAAGCAGGTTAGAAGAAGCAACATATTTGTCAGTCTCTTATGTGACCTAAAAAGGCTTTACTTGTATTTGAAGTACATCAGTTCTTCGTGTGAAACTATGGTTTTGGATTTCATTTAGGGGCAATCCTTTTCCAGAACTTCTTCAGCACCATCAGATTTCATGTCTACCACTTTAGAGCATTTCCACAGAGTTCCATTTTGAACAAGCACAACCAAATATGCTGGTACAAAGGACAGTAGTTGGGGAATCCACATTTTCAGTGCTCCCTTAGTTAAAATACCTTTATCCCCCAGTAGAGAAATAACAGTGTACCAAACTGACCTTGGAAATAACATGCCACAAACAACATGGCTAAATGTAACAGGTGGCTTTTTGTGGTAATCAGGGCATCTTTTTTTTTTTTTTTTTTTTTGCTGAAGTGACTATATAGTTTGAACATTCATTATCCCAAATATTTGAGACCAGAAATGTTTTGAATTTCAGGGTTTTTTAGATTTTGAAATACCTGCATTTGCATATGCATGCATTATGGCATATTTTAGAGATGGGACCTAAACACAAAACTTATTGATGTTTCATATATGTTTTATACAGTGCACATTACCTGGATGTTCTTTTGTATGCAACGTTTCAATAATTTAGTAGGTTTGCATACATTACATTATCAGAAAGTAAATGAACCATTATCTCAGCAACCAATTTGGATTTTGAGTATTTCAGATTTCAATATTCCAAATAATCTGCTACAGTTCAACCCGTAACAGATTAATGGGGCTGGGGGGTGGGATTATAATGAAATCTCGGGAAAAAAATAATTTAAAAAGCAATTTCTCTTGTACAGAGCAGGCTAGTGTAGAACTCTTCTGGCTAAAATGCCAGTTTTCTTTGCGGGGAGATTTTTAAAGAAGGGAATTATTTTAAAAGAGCACGGGAATCCCTTGTAGTCTGATGTGGCCCCATGCACTCCATTACTTCTAGAGTGTTACAGAGTGTTTATTTTTTGTTCCACCATGTATTTGAAAATATTGTGAGACCAAGAAAGATGTCTGGCATGAGCTGAGGTTTGAGACCAAACTGCCTTGCAGATTACATAATTCATGGTAATTAACCTCAGAAAAATAAACTTGGAAAACCTCTTAGAATGTGGACAAGTAGAACGGCACAATCCAAACTTCTGTGATTTATTTTAGTAGCTTTCAGATATGGAATTACAACATGTATAAATGCCTATGCATTTAATGCAGGTTAAGAATGTTTTTTTATTTTTAAGTAGAGCATAAACCAGACTTAAATTTCACTAAGAATCAGCAACAAAAGAGAAATCATCCTTCAAATGACTTAAATCTTGGCTTGACCTTTTAAAAAAGCTGATACAACTTCAAAATTCACAGAGGTACAGAGTGTACACATACATATCTCCATGCTATGGTGTCCTTTGTATTCAGATGATTGCACATCCAGGAATAAGAGCAAGCCAAGCTATGATGTACCATATTTACTCGAATGTAATGCTCACCTTTTTTGACTAAATAGCATTGCCAAAATTAGGATGCACGTTAGATTCATGTAATATCGTAATCTTAGTGCTGAGCCAAAGCAAAAGAGGAAGTTACTTCAGGAGCTGTACCTGGAGCTCCTCTTTGAGGGACACCACCTCTAATTTAATTGCCATGGCTCAGTGCTGTGCCAGTCTGAGATTTGTAGTTTAGTGAGGCATCTGCCTTCTTTGTCAGCCCTTATTATACCAAACGACAGCCCCATGACCCCATAGCATTAAGCCAGGGCAGTTAAAGTGGATTCATTCTACAGCATAGATGCACCCCAAAGTTTTCTTTTCCATTGCTGAAAGCTTTGATGTTCAAACACTTTCATTTTTGAAGAAGGAATTATAGGTATGCAGCCACGGTAATGCATGCCTTTCTGTCCAAATGACAAAGAATGCACTTTTTACTACTGATCATTACATTTGACAGCAAATACAAAAACGTTTCAGGGTTTTGAAAATGGAGGTGCACATTAGATTTGCTGATGCATTGGATGAGTAAATTCGGATATTTTCTGTTATAGCTGCAACCTTAAATTCAGCTCTTTCAGATCCTTCATCTTTGGCAGGTAACTATTGAAGGGCAGGTTTATTATTGAGAAGTGATTAATGGTGGGGTGGGGGGAGACAGAGCCCAGAGAAGGAGTGAGGATGCTCTTACGCATAGTAACAACTGACATCAGTCTGTCTTTTATTATCATAATAAGCAAACCTTGTTTCCTTGAGCTGAGGGCATGTTGGCTTTTTGGGATGCTCTGTTTTAAAACATACATCTCTTCTCTCTCTTTATTTCTCTTGGCCAGTTTCCAATACTAATAGCTTCTCTCTAGATATTGCTCAAACTGGTGTTACATCAAGTGAGCTATGGAGGATTACCTGGTCTGAAAGGCTTTGGGATATGATGACTGGAGGATTGATCACCTTCATGGCTCCGATAATGATATCTGGACATGGATAAATTATCACAATGCCCTCACCATGAAAGTGGTGCACAATGGCCACCCAATTTTACAGAAATGCAGCAATTGAGACAGTGAATAGCAAACTCTTTCCCCTGTGTGGAAAAAACTAGGGATCTGTTTTCTGCCCTATGACTTCCAAAACTGTGGTTGTCCTCCAAGACTCTTGTAGTTTGTTTGTTTTCAGCTTAAGGCAACTCCGATGGTATCTCTCATGACTTGCCTGTCATTTCCTACTTATGGCAACCGTAGCATGAACCTTTTGTGTGTGTCCTTTCTTTTTGGCAATACTTGTTCTTTGTTTGATGCTGTGAGGGTGTGACTTGCCCAAGGTCACTTTGGGGGACTTTCATAGTTAAGCATGGATCAAACCCTGATCTCCTGGAATCCTAGTTCAGCACTCGAACCCCTACACCAGGTTCGACAGGTTGTACAGGTTGTACAGGTTGACAAAAAGTCCAAACCATCACACCAAAACAAAAATAGATGTGGCCACAAGTCTGCTTCTGATTTTTTTTAAACAGGCCTTTTTTAATATTAGTACAAGAGATTTCTGTGACACATTTAAAAGAGAAACTGCCACCCTGGAGGTTTCAGAGTGAGGCGGTTAGCTCTATTTTGTCAGGAAAGGGGGATTTCTAGTGGGAGCTGTAAAAATAATTGGTTTGGAAATGGTGGTACATGGAGCCCCAAAATGATATTTTTGCCCAGTTTTGGTTTAGACCCTGAACTATGGAGGCAAACTCCACCAGAATATGGAAAAGAGCAGCAGAGATGCTGCAAAACTCTTTTCTGAGTTTCCCATTACAGTCAATGAAAAGAGGCTATAATGGGATGAGTATATGATTATCAGCATTTTATTCTCCATTCCTTAGGCTTTCAAGAGCTGAGTTACAAATGCTCGTGTGTAGAGAAACAAAGAGGCTGACTCCAAGCTGATGGTTATATCCTTTCATGTCCCTACCTGCAACTTGCTACTCTTCTCTTTCTATATCTCTCATGCAATAGACATTGATTGACATTGATCCTGCTGTGTTAGAGGGTTTAGAGATGTTTACGGTTCTGGTACTACCTTATATACTTTTGTATAAGTCAAACATGAAGTAGACTTATACATGATGTCAAGGGCAGGTTTGGGGGGAGGCAACATTGTGTGTGGTGATATGATCCATGGATAAATTGGGAGTCATTCTGCAGAGAGGGGAACGTATTTATTTATTTACTTTATTTCTATACCGCTTTTCTCAGCCCTCAGGAGACTCAAAGCGGTGAACAACATCAATACAAAACATCACAAAGCAAGTATAGGGCAATTAAAAACAATTATAACATAAATCATTAACATCAGTATAACAATCATTAGTGCCTCAACAGTAAAATCAGAATCCAGTTTCGTCATCCATTATTCCGTATTCCTAGATTCAATTACACTGTTTAATCAAATGCTTGTTCGAACAGCCAGGTCTTCACTTTCCTCCGAAATGCCAGCAGGGAGGGGGCCAATCTGATATCTGCAGGCAGGGCGTTCCACAGCCGAGGGGCCACCACTGAGAAGGCCCTGTCTCTCGTCCCTGCCAAGCCTCTGATGCAGGCGGGATAGAGAGCAGGGCCTCCCCAGATGATCTTAGTGTCCTAGTCGGTTCATAGGAGGAGATGCGTTCAGAGAGGTAAGTAGGGCCAGAACCAGTTGGCATCTCAGTGAGCCATCAGGTCCTGGCTACTGCTGTGACTGCCAGTGTCCTACCCAAGCATGTTTAAAAAGACCTCTTGTCACTCTACTCAGAGGAAGGGATAGTTCCATTTTTTGATAAAAAACATTTATCAAAAAAAGGAACCAGCCTCTTCTCTGAGTAGAGTGGCAAAAGGTGGGAACGTAATCCATCCTGGGAGAACTTAAAAGAAGCACCAACCCCCTCTACTCCCTTGGCTCTCCTTTGAGGAAAACATCAAAGAGTCTTCACATCTGCCATTTTCATGACCAGGCATTCAAAAAACCCAGAAGAGCCATGACAGAGAGAAAAGAGGGGGTTGGCGATTCTTTTAGCTTTTCTGGGGACAGACAGAGTAGGGAATGACTCCTTCTTTGCAAAGTAAAGTACTTATATTAGCCTATGGTGAAATCAATCCAGCTTTCTGAGTGGTCAGATTTTTGACTAAACTTTCTAGACTTATCCATGAGCATATGCAGTAGATTTAGTTCATTGCATCTATTTCTAAGCAGGGTCTGCTATCTACACGTCAAGCAACTAGGAGCATGGATCATACTATCCCACAAAAATATGTGTGTTTAAAATCATGCAGGAGGAAAGACTCAGATACATTTATAACTCACAGGTCTTAAATGTGCAAGGGAATTGGTGGAAGAATTCAGACAGGAAAACAATTGAGTCATCAAGATCTCCAGTTGTGAAGCCAGAAGGTTCTCCTTTAACTTTTTGAAAGGTGTACAGTTGTCACCATCCCATTACACCCCCCCCCCCAAATAGGATCTTCCAAGGGGAACAAAAAAGCATGATGTTAGCACCACCTTATTTTTCTAAACAGTTCTCTCTTATCACCTCATCAGATGACTGGTGACAGGAAGTGGCAGTGCTCTGTCTCACTGCAGGGCGGGGGAAATCCAGCACCCCATGTCTTGCATTGTCCAGATCCATGGTAGGGCAATCATTTGGTGGGGGGAGGGGGAGTGTGAGTGCACATGGTGCATGCGGCTTCCCCTCAAAGAGTTAAATGACAACATGGGAAGCCTCCTGGGTTGTTGTGGTGGCACGCTGGTTCCACCCTCTTTCACCCACGGAGCCAGCATAACATTGTCTAATGGGAGCCAGCTGGCTCCATGGGTGACTGGGGCTAGATTGGCATATGCCACTGATTTTAGCCCCGTATGATGAGGTTGTTAGTTTCAGTTTTCTGGTAGGGGTATATGAAGACCTCTGGGGTGGGGTGCCATCCTTACACTGAAGGCCTTCTCCTTTTCAAAGGGGAAACTGTCCAACACCCTCTACCAAATGTTCTACACACACCAGACTAGGTTCAAAAGGGAGACCATGCCAAAAGGCAAGCAGGAAACAGCACAATTCTCACTATTTGCTTTGTGGATGCACTTACCAAGGAGAAGCAGCTTGACTGTCCGAGCATCCTTCTCTCCATCTTCCTTCAGCTTCTTTTCTAATTCACGGGAATGTTTTTCCTCAGCACTGGCACCTGCTCCCATTGCCCTTATTTTTATCAAGCAAAGGGAAATCTCAAGAAAGCCCCCAGGGGCCTCCAGTGCCCTTTTGGTCTGACCCAGCCTTATTCAAGACACAGCCTTATCAAGAGCCTTCCTGTCCCTTAAAATGTTCTAACCCTCCCTGCAAGTTGGTCCCTCCCTTCCTTCCAGCACCAGGTGTTTGCTGGCTCAGGGGGATTTGCCACTCATGAAAATCAGTTGTGCAAAGTGACCCAGTATGAAGGGCAGTTGAAGAAGGCCAGGGTACAGGGCACCCACAGGGCCTCTCCCTTCATCTAATTGGACTTGCTGTGCTCAGCAGCTGCTTAAAGCCATTCTTGAAATAAAGCTCCTCAAATCCCCCCACATGTTATAGTCAGCAGTTTCCACCTTCCATCTGCTCGCAACCTGGAGAGACACGTCAATCTTAGATAAAGCCAATTCCCTCTTTCCTAGCCATGGCTCCATTCTCCAGCTATGCTGCAAGAGACAGATTTGTAGTAGATCCATGTGTTTCAGGGTCACTTTGGCATTAAAAGAATGATCACAGCATGAAAGTGGAGAGTTAGTTGGCATAGTTACCCTCTCTTCGTTGTCATGTGTACATTACACCATCTGGAGAAAAAGAATGGACTCCAAAAAAAGTGCAAAATAAAATGGCTAATAAAACTGCTAAACAAGGACCAAAACTGGGAAGCCAATAAAGATCCAGTTGTGGCCATTACTGCCCTACCATTCACAATGTACACAGCACTCTTTCGGTTTGCATGGGGATGCTTAATTCCAAGTCAAGCTGTCTGCAAATCCTTAGTCTGTCGTACAGCTTCCTATTTATTCAACTGGCATGAGGAGGGCACACTTAAGGCTGATTTTGTGGTATTGATCATTGCAACCTTTGGAACTTTTTGGAACTAGATTTAATAATTACACCTTATTTGACATCGCAGATATTTTTGTGCAAGTTTGAGACTGAATGACAAATTTTGTGCCCATCCCTCCCCGCTCCCACAGTAAAATGCTGGGTTTAATATATTTTATGTGGCACTTGATGTGAAGCATTTTTAAAAGACTGTAGGTGCTACTGCTTGAATCTTTGTTCAAACATTTCATAGCTCATTTTGTTGTTCATTCGTTCAGTCATCTCCGACTCTTCGTGACCTCATGGACCAGCCCACGCCAGAGCTCCCTGTCAGCCGTCACCAATCCCAGCTCCTTCAAGGTCAGTCCAGTCACTTCAAGGATGCCATCCATCCATCTTGCCCTTGGTCGGCCCCTCTTTCTTTTTCCTTCCACTTTCCCCAGCATAATTGTCTTCTCTAAGCTTTGCTGTCTCCTCATCATGTGGCCAAAGTACTTCAGCTTTGTCTCTAGTATCCTTCCCTCCAATGAGCAGTCGGGCTTTATTTCCTGGAGGATGGACTGGTTGGCACTCTCAGAACTTTCCTTCAGCACCACAGTTCAAAAGCATCATAGCTCATACTAACAGCTAAACTCTAGTAATGAATCCTGATGAGAGGGAAGGAGTTGTAATATTGTGGAAGTTAACACCATTGGTTAGCAGGTACCCTGAACAGAGGCTGAAGATATACTGTACAGTGTACTATTGGATCCACTTATGTCTCTCAATATCAGATTCTGGGGGTAAGTCTTGAGGAGAGTATGCTGCTTTTGTGCCCTGTTTGTGAACCTTTGAATTTCATCTGGCTGACCTCTGGGTTCAACAATACATTAGTTTATCTCCATGGGTAATGAAATGCTGGGTGAGAAGGAACCCTTCTTGATCTGATAATCTTGCCCCTCCCTTCTTTTTTGCACTACCATAGTGTCTGTCTTATTTTTCTTATCATATAAAAATTATGGCTAAAAGAAAGATTGTTGCTTTTGTTCTTTCATTCATTTCAACATGACTGGAAGAAGGTGCTGGGAAAGAGGTTGTAACCTGCTGAATGAGTTTGCTTTGATTCCTTGTAAGATATGGCTCCTTGTCAATCTAAGGATAAGGACAGACGGAGCCTCAATATGTCAGAGTGGGAATTCCCTCGAAGAGATCCAGCCAATGGCAGAAACTATAGCCTTGAATTCATTACACCCATTGCCAGGAATTGGTTTCTAGGCTCCACAAAGGCCAAATATTTGTTGTGAGGCATCTCTCTTCTCCATCATTACTTGGGAAAGGACGGCCTCTTCCTAGCAACCTCCTTCTTGGTAATACTTGAAGGCAAGAGAAGTGAGCTTTCCCCCTTATTTTCTTTCAAACAAGGATGTGACATTCTGCCACCAGAGGGGGAACGAACCCTACAAATGTGTCTCTTATGCAAAAAAAAAGAAGTAAGAAATGAAAGGAAAGCAAGGAAGAGGGATGGGAGACTACTGGCCCATTGTGACTAGTTATTTTAGCAGAATACCAAAATCGAGGTTCTAAAGGGCCATGCATCCAATATTCAGTATGACTGCCATTCTATCTGCTCCTAAAAAAGTGGTCCTAAGTCCATGATAACTTAATGGAAAGCAAAGACTCTGGTGGTCTTTCATAGCTTCCAATATTTGACAGACTAAAATCAGGACACATGTGGCCAAGCAACATCAGGATATGGCCAAGATGGCAAAAGTTATGAATGAGGAAGAACAGACAACTGAGGAGAGGCTGCAGCAGTATGTTTTTGCCTGAGACTACTAGGAAAGCCAAAGACCACCTCCTCCTCCTCCTTTCCTCCCCTGCTTTTGCACTGTACATTTGGTTTTCAGTAACTGAAGTGAGCTGAAGATATGGGAGTAAAGTGAAAGGAGGAGACAGAACCTGGGACAATTGAAAAGCAACTGAAAAAGTGGGATGAGAGAATTATTCAGGACTATTAACTGCTAAATCAGGACAATTGGTATTTCAGTGAATGTTTACTGGTTTATTTTGAGTCCTAACTATATTGAGGAAAGTCATCCAAAAGCCGATACTTCCCCTCCAAGCTCTATGAGTTTGCAAGGTTATACGAATGCATAAAGACAGGAAATGATGAATGATGCTTATCTATTAATTTCTATAAAAGGCAAACAACAGTCAAGTTATTAAGTAGTCATTTTTCAGCCTATCTTTGACACAAATGCAACATGTATTTTGTTTAGACACAGGGAGTGCTGTACCTGTAGCCTATCATGAAGTTAGTATCCCAGGATCCCATAGGATGTTGGCAGGCATTTGAAGTGAAATTACGCCATTTTAAATGTATAGCGAGAAAGATTCTGGAATGATCGAGAAAGATTCTCAGAAAAGTTTCAGACCCGAGACAAGGTCTCTTGACAATAGCACATCTCAATAGACAGGCAGTCCCAGAGTTGCAAACATGATATTTTCTGTAGGTTTCTTCTTAAGCTGAATCGGTTTGTAAGTCAGAACAGGTACATTTTTAAATGTAACTCCAGCTATATGTCTGACTGTCTGTCTGTCTGTTGGCTTGTTGTGGAAACAAAGATTGGTGAGAAAACTTCAGTGGAGACACATTTTCTCCATGATAACTCTTCCAAGAGTGAAATTCCTTTCTGAGGGGCAGATTTCTCTTGCTTCCTGTTGTCTCACCCACGCTTGTAACTATGAGTCATTTATAAGTCAGATGTTTGTAACTCAGGGACTGCCTGTATATTGTAAACATCGACCCTGAAAGAAATGTGTTTAAGAGAGCATTATTCTCGGCATGGCACATTTACTAGTAGTTGAATACTTATTTTGAGATTTTTGTCAGCTCAAGGTCAGACCCAGAAAGCCAGGTGCTCCTCCTTGGGGTCTGTAATCCATTCACAGGAACAGGCTTTTCTTGGTCCTTCGTTACTTCTTAAAACAAACAAAACAAGATGCATTTATGCCTGGATGTTTTTGCTTTCACATCCGAGCCATGTGTGCCCAATAATCTCACCAAATCTCCAGGGAACTTGAAATCCTGTTGAAGTGAAACTGGGAAAGAACAATTCCTGGGCTCATGGTGCAAGTCTTGTGGCATCCCAGCTTCACAGACCACACTGCCTCACACACGTGCCTCAACTTCCTGGCCTGGCCTTGCTAGGAGGGAGAAGGAAATGAGACCATGACCCTCATACCTATTTTGCTGTATATTTGGTTAACTGGCTGTCTCAGCCCTCCCTTAGAGAGGCAGGGTTTTCCTCACTCTCTCTTGTTCTCCTTTTTATGAAGCCAATAGAACAAGGAGCCTTTGTTTGTGGGCTGCAGGGCAAGAAGGGGCAATGCCAAGCCAAGAAACCCAACACCTGCACCTTCCCCCCTCCCTCAACCTGATGGCTCATAAACCAGAAACAGAAGAAAAACCATGTACCTGGTTGCTTCATAAAAAGTGAAATATATTGCTCCATAAATTAACGGAAAACAAGCTGCGAATTGACAACTTTAAAGGCAATACTAGTCACTAGAGCTTCCCTTTAGGAAGAAGCAAGAAACACAGTACTCAGAGTCTCATTAATGCTAACGCTTTGAGTCTTGGCACTTGGCCTTTTCCAGTGCTTCAACCTTTATCGGATTATGGAGCTGGAAGGGACAAACAGGGTTAATACAATTCCTAATTACAGTTGGCCCTCCACATTTGCAGGTTTGACATTGGCGGATTTGAATATCCCCAAATTCTATGTAAAATGTTATCTCCAAGAATCCCTATGTCCTCCAGTATCACTCTATTGTCAACTTCCACCTTCCTCTCCAGAACTTCCAATGAGATTCTGTGGTCAACTTCTGTTGAAAGGTGACCATAGTCTCATTCTAGGGAACCAGTGATTCCTAGAGAGGTTTTCTCTCAGACAAAAAAAGGCATTTTTTTATTTGCGGTTTTTACTTTTATGAGTGTCCTGTGACTCTAACCCAGAAAATGTGGAGGGCGGCCTATAGTGCTTTTATATCAAAATATTAATTTCAATATTGGTTCTATCAAGTCCTTGATGTTCCCTTTGGTTAATGAATCCAAAGAGACAATACTTTAATTAATCGTCTCCAAAAAGATCTCAAAAAGTGTAGTTGAGAGTAGATCAATGTTAAGTTGCTTTTTGGCTCTACTAGAGGCCGATATCCCAATTTTAAATTTACAATTTGCTATCTAAGAATCTCATAAGTGTTTTATGAAGCTGTTAGCCATTAATTTTGTAGGTCACTTTGCCAAAAAGGGAGGCCCTCCTTAGAAACCAATACAGTTAGGCCTTAAATAGTGATGATTTTTTTTAAAAAAACAAAACAAAACAAAAACAAAACATAATGCCTTTTCTCATTCCCTCAAAGGTGATACAAATATTGTTAGCCTCTTGTGACACATTAATTCTAGTGTAACCACACCTAGAACACTCTGTTGTTCTTGTTGCGTCATTTTAAGCAGGTGTTGTAGAAAAGCTGCAAACAAACAAAATGATCCAAGAGCTGGGTCAACTCTTCTATGAAGAAAGTGTACACCTTTAGGTTGGGAAGAAATAAGGGAAGTCATGGCAGAAATTACACTTTGTAGAAAACCTATAAACAGGAATTTGTTTTCCTTTCTCATAATGCTAGAATTGAAAGTTAAGTCAATGGAACTCAATCTGGAGTAAATGAAATGTAGACTTTGGACTGCATGCATACTTCTCTCACCTTGTTTCCTTCCTACCAAGAAAATGCTACAGGATAGAGGTGATTCCAGATTACAGCTGGATTTTATGGGTACTTTTTTAAAAAAATGGGGATTAATTATTGTTTGGTGGTTTCTTTTTTCCAGTAGTTCTTGGGAGAGTCCAAGGTGAAATCTGAAGTCACCCCAGGAGTGGGTACAGTCTAATTGAATTCCTATATACTACCTGTAGTTTGCAGTCTATAGGAGTGCAGTTATTCAAATTAGGCTACACCAGTTCCTGGGGTGATTTCAGATTTCACCTAGGACTCATTCCAAAAGCTGACATTGTCTTTGTTTACTCTTTTGCTTGAGGGAAAGTTCTGGAGAACTCAAATATTTACAGACTGTTTTGCAACAGTGAGTTGGCCTAATAAATTTATTACCCCTATATTAATTTTGGCACATTTAAAGCAGACTGGGAAAATGTGATTGATCTGCAGACCAATTTTCTTCCCTTGAGTCACACTAACTGCCAAAACTCACAAATATACAAAATAGAAATGGCTACTTCATGCCTGAAAAACTTTTAAAAATACTGCTTCACAGTGTACAGAAAAGGACTTGCAATCTACTTAAAATATCTGCTTCTAGAGCTTTCCAGGAGTTAATTCACTTTTTGAGTAGCTGCATTTTGTCCACTCTGAATTTAGACAAGCATTTATGTTTCAGGTACTAAAGCCCTCATTATTCTGTTTCAGTCTTTCCAGAACTTATATCTTGTTGGACTACTGAACCCATCATCCCATCATCCCCACCATTATAACCAGTAGTTGCAGATGACATGTCCCCAGAAGATTGGGGAAGACTATAGTTTAACCACTAACAAGCCATTATGTTCTGGGACTCTAAATTCTTGAGAATGATTGGAACCAGTGAAAGATTACCATGGACCACAGATGGTTGTTAGAACTACCAGTCTGTCAAATATTTGTTTTATTAAAACATTTATATCCTATCCTTTATCCCACTCTAGTTTCGCCAGAGGATGATGTGGCCAATGTGGGGAAAGAAGGGTTGTTTGCTGTGGTAGTCTTCTAATCTTTAGGCTGTTTCCTGCTTATTTGTCTGGCTTCCTTTCTCCTGCTGTGGAATTGAGTTCAACAGGCAGATCCGAGGAACTAAAGCCCTGGGACATGTGAAGTCCAAGTAACCCCCTATTTCTCTTACTTTATTTAGGACAGTGGTTCTCAACCTTCCTAATGCTGCGACCCCTTAATACAGTTCCTCATGTTGTGGTGACCCCCAACCATAACATTGTTTTCATTGCTACGTCATAACTGTAATGTTGCTACTGTTATGAATCGCAATGTAAATATCTGATATGTAGGATGGTTTTTCAATCACTGGACCAAATTTGGCACAAATACCCAATATGCCCAAATTTAAATACTGGTGGGGTTGGCAGGATTGATTTTGTCATTTGGGAGTTGAAGTTGCTGGGATTTATAGTTAACCTACAATCAAAGAGCATTCTGAACTCCACCAATGATGGAATTGAGCCAAACTTGTCACACAGAACTCCCATGACCAACAAAAAAGGGTTTGGTGGGCATTTATCTTGAGTTTTGGAGTTGTAGTTCACCTACATCAAGAGAGCACTGAGGACTCAGACAATGCTGGATCTGGACCAAACTTGGCATGAATATTCAATATGCCAATGTGAACATTGGTGGTGTTTGGGGAAAATCAACCTTGACATTTGGGAATTGTAGTTGATGGCATTTATAGTACACCTACAATCAAAGCGCATTCTGAACCCCACCAAGAAAGAATTGGGCCAAACCTCCCACACAGACTCCCATGACCAACAGAAAATACTGTGTTTTCTGACGGTCTTTGGCGACCCCTCTGACACCTCATGACCCCCCCCCCCCCCCCGGGTCCCCATCCCCAGGTTGAGAAATGCTGCTTTAGGATGAAGAAGTAATGTTTTTTCTTTACTTTCCTCAAAATTACTTTTACTTTCATTATTCCAAAAAAGTGGTTTATTGCTTGTTAGTTTCTAAGAATGACAAGTGAGTTGATACTCACTTGTCATTATTTGAAATGCAAACTGCTACTTTGTTGCTCTGATGTTTTTTTAAAAAAATACATATACAGATAGGGAAATGGCTCCGAATTCCACCCAAAGGCAACAGTTTTGGAGTGAGGAGTAAATATTATTACACTTAAGTGTTACCAGCCATCCTATTCTTTAAAAAATAACACCTCCCACTTTACTTGTCAAACCAATGTTACAGATGATAATGACATCAGCATCAAAACATAAACATATGAGAAACTAATGCTGAGGATAGATTTCCAGAGTAAGAATGAACGGCATAACCTTAATTACCAACATCATCTATCTAATTTAATGGAGCCATTCTGGCAGTGAGTTGCTGATATATAAGAGGAGGCAGGATATCAGTCTAAAGCTGAACCATTGCAGCAATGCAATGCTGTTGCTTCCTATAGGAGGCAAAGGGAAAGAAAGAGAATTTTGAAGAGGAGTGAAGGAGGCTTGAGTCTTCAAAAAAAGCCAGTGTTTATTAGCTTATTCTATCCACAGGAATTTCACATTACAGGCACAAAGTGGCCCTGCACTTGAATTCATCACAAGGAGCTCCTTATCAAGATGCTTTGGATCCCCGTTTTTTGTTACATTATTGATTTACAGCTATTTACAATGGAAAGTCTAGGTGCATCACTCAGACTGGCAAGGGGAAGGGAACAGGGAGGGTGAATGTGGTGGGCCCAGGGCCTCTAAACATGAAAGGTGAGCCCTTTTCTTGTTAACAGTAGGCAGAACAGCCCCACAGACCAAAGGGCATGTAGGACAGCCTTCAGTTCAACTGTGGAGACTGCCCCTTGCTGTGCAGACAGAAGCAAAAAAGTCCAAGACACAGCCCAGCTTCCATCCCAGCTCATCCAGTTTACACATTATTAGTAATGTGATACCTCTAGGATTAGTCTTTTCCAATATATGCACACTACTTGCACTCTTAGATTTGTGCTGCTTTCCCACAGCTTCTTAGAAGTAGCACAATGCGAAAGGGACCCCCGTTTGTGGCAAAGCAGGCATTTTCCTTGCATCAGTGCATAAGGTCACTGCTAGAGGGAATCAAAGTACAGAGATTCGGCAGATGTAGTTCAGTGTAACTTTGCAGGCAGGCAGAAACCTTCCAGATTAATCCAAACTGAGAAGCTGACCTTAATTTGTCTTGGAATATGGAACATAAAAGTCATGTCAGCCAAAAGAAATCAACCCAAAGGATAATTCTGAGACACAATAAAACTAAGAAAACCAAAGCAAAATCTTTGCTACAGAAAACCCTATGGTAAAAAAGCATTACCTATGAAGGAAGAAACCTTAAAAAAAATGGGGGACCTTTGACCTAAGAGACATCTTATTGAGTCCTGAGCACTGTTACTCTAAACATGCCCAGAAGCATAGTATTATTTTACATCTTTTTCCTGGAATGCAATGTAGCTTTGGGAGCTGAGTAAGCCTGGGTTGAGTTTGGCTTTGGCAATGTTGGTTACCATATTCTTTATTTCTCTCTACTGTGCCTTAATTTATAATTATAATTTCCACATTTTTTTCCAGAATCCTTGATGTCTGAATTTAGAATCAGAGAATTTCTCCTATACCCAGCACAGGTTATTGTTGCTTATATATGTGTCAAGAGCCCCCCCCCCCCCCAATTGTCCCCTGGCTTTGCAAACAGCAACCTCTGCCCCCAGGTTGCTGTTTTCCACTCTAGATGACTCCCCAAACAATGGCTGTCCCTATTCCAAATTGCACAGTTGTCCATAACCCCAAAAGTCCATCTTACGCTTACATTTTTAAAACACCTTCTTTGTGCAGTGATGCCAGTCCTGACCTATATCTGCCAGCTTCACTGAAAATATCATTAGCTGAGTGGTGATGGTAAGGTAAGGATTCCTCTTACATGGGATACACTGAAGACTCACCGACTCATATTTTTTGTGGCAAGACAGCAGGCAGCTATCACTTTTGAGTCTACAAGAGCCCATTCTTTGGGGGCTTTGGCATGTTCTTGCCATCCTATCCTGTACCCAAGTCATCTATCTGGAGTGATCAAGATAATGCCACAAAACTCTTTCTAGGAACATTCAAGCACACTGGAGCCGGCTGCCCCATTCCTCCTTGGCTTGAATTCCATTGGCAAGTAGGCTGGTTCTTCAGGCCTTCAGTGAACAGAGTAAGATAAAATTATAATAAATAGCTAGGTTGGTAAACAGAGGCATGCATGCCTCCATGGACTGGCTGAGAAGAAGCCAGGACTCCTGATATCTATCCACAGATACCTCATCTTCCCTGCTACCTTCCCTCCCAAGTTGTCTTTGGCCTGAGAAGTATCTGAAGCATGCACTTCAAGAGAGTAACTTTGGTTCATATATACATTATTACACCTCCCTGGCATAGGCCTTGCATATGTCTGATAAACAAGCTCAAAGGAACCAGGTGTCTATGAGAAGAACTATACAAATCCTCCCACACTCTCTTTTGGTTGTTGCCTATTTCCATTATCTTTATACCACAGCTTCCACAGACAGTACCCCTTGTATCTCTCACAAGCCCACTTGGACTGTCTAAAAACATTTATAAAATTAAAACACCATCTCTTGACTACTCAAAAGTAGGATTACTCTTCTTGCGGTGGCACCACACAGGTCCATAGGTGGACATCTTTGATGGAATGCATTATTCTCCCTTAAATGGCCTAGGCCCCTTAAGAGATGCAGTTTCCATTGTACTGCTGGAATGTGCTTTGAGGCAGAAAAATGGTGAGAGGAACAAAAGTGCTAAAGTCTTTGTAGGTATGTGGGGTGCTCTGAATGGCAGCAGTTCTGAAGTCTTAGCCATGTTCATGGCTGTCCGGGTATGAAGACCCTTGCTCCACCATCCTGGATCTGTGGATTCCACCCTTGAGTCCTGTGTCCTTCAACAAAGAAGGCCCTCATATTGACATGAGAGTCATGGGAGCAGCAACTTCGCCTTGGCCAGATGTGTGCTTTGAGTTGACAACGAGGTGGGGGAATAACTGGCCCTTGTTTCCCTCCCCTCCAATTAATCAATCCATTATTAGAAAGTACCACCAAAAAAGTGGGGAAAGGAATAGAGCATGATGCCGATGGGATGCCTCCAGGTTCCTTGCTTCTCACCGCAAGATAAGATTTACCTAGATTATGTACAACCTACAAATAAATACTGTCTTGAAAGGAGTCAGTGTGCTTGTGTGTCTTTTTGTGTATGCATGTATGAATATATATATATTTATATATATATATTTATTTATAGATATTTTAATATTAAAATGGGGAGGAAGGGGAAATTATGCATTGTCACTACACATTCCCATCTGGATGCCAGTTTCATGTCTGTTGGTCCCCTTCTGGTGGGTGATTCCGGCGGTTACGGGGTTTCTTCTGATCATGCAGCTCTTTAGCCTTTAGATTAGCTAGAGTCTCCTTATGGTTGGAGGCCACGTGCCGCCAGTAGCCCTGGCAGTACTGGTTGATGAGTCCCATTTCAGGCTGGGTCAGCAGCTGTACCAGGTCATGGTAGTGAGAGCTGAAGGTGCCCGGCAGGCCGGCCCGCACAGCAGCCGCAGAGGGGGCAGGGGCCTCCGACTGAAAGAGCACAGCATGGATGGTCTCGCTGCTCAGGACGTGCAGCTGCACTTTGGCCACCGTGTGCTTGAAGTTGTTCTCTGTGGCTGTGCAGGAATAGAGGCCCCCATCCGAGAGCTGCAAGGACCGCAACAGCAGCCCCTGCTCTGTCCTCAGTACTCGGCCTTCTGTGCGCAGCTGAAGGAGAGAGAAATGCCAAAGGGTGACTGCTATGAGCAACATCAAAACAACAGAGTTGGGATACATTGAAGAACACAGCCCACTTCTATCCTTAACAAACACTCTCAGTGTGAATTTGTTTCTGATTCTCAGTCTTCTTGCTTTCACTTACAATTTCCTGTTATAGGAGCCGTGTTCTTTCCCCATCCCACTACAGTCCTGACTGCCAGTATTTTCATCAAAAAAATTACAGTCTAGTCCTCCATATTTGTGTGTTTGACTTTTTGCAGATGGGGTTATTTGCAGATCTCTCTGTTTTACCATTTTTGCAGGGAGTCTCGTACCTCTAATCTTACCAAATGTAGAAGCTACGATCCTTTTACTCAGGAAGGGGATATATCTATGTTTATGGCTGTGACTAGGATGAAGTAAGACTGTTTCCAGTGATAAGCTTTCTAGAGGAGGGCTTGGAAGCGAAAAATGTAATATAACATGCTTTAATCTTGAAAGCATAAATATAACATTTGCAATGAAAAGAGAAGGCCAACTATGCTCCCTTCTCAGTCACTAACTGTGATGGAAAATTTCTTTTGCCTCCCCTTCCCATTTCCCCAAACTTCATCCTAGAAATCCCAGGGAGCCTGTCAGTGTTACTGGAGGGGTGGGGTCTTTGCACCTCTTTCCTTCGGTCACTGTTGTCCTTTTGGAGGAGCCACTTGATGGTGGCCTGAGGCGAGCGAGGCTGACACTCTAGAAAGGCTGTGCTTCCCTCTACACCATATTGGACAGCCTCTACTGTGTTCTTGCTGGCTGGAAGTGGAAAGAGAGCATATGAGGACAAATTAGATTTCACACACTTCCTAGAAATATATAGCCACTGTCAAAAGAAGATGAGGCTCACCATGGCCACCTTTTATTTACTCAACCATCTTTCATAGTGGACTAATTCTTGATCTATCATTGAGTGTGCACATCTCTTAGAAAGCACCGTAACTGTTTTTTGATGTAAGCCTTACATATGTTTGTGTGAGGGTGTGTACACAACATGTGCACACACATTCACTAATCTGCCACAATTTTGTGTCACTGAATAGTACTCCTGCAGACATGAGGGTGCATCTATGCTGTAGAATGAATGCAATTGGCACCACTTTGAACTGCCATAGCTCAATGCTATGGAATCCTGGGATTTGTGGTTTGGTGAGGCACCAGGACTCTTGGGCAGAGAAGGCAAAAGACCTTGTAAAACTACAACTGCCATGAATCCACAGCACTGAGCCATAGTAATTAAATTGTGTCAAACTACATTAATTATCTATACATATATTAAGTATAGATCAGGCCTGGGCAAACCTTGGCCCTCCAGGTGTTTTGGACTTCAACTCCAGAAATCCCAGCCAGTTTACTAGCTGTTATGAATTGTGGGAATTGAAGTCCAAAACATCTGTTAAGAATTGTGGGAGTTGAAATCAAAAACATCTGGAAAACTACATTAGTTATATAGTATAGACCAGGCATGGGCAAACCTTGGCCCTCCAGGTATTTTGGACTCCACCTCCAGAAATTCTATCCAGTTTACTGACTGTTAGGAATTGTGGGAGTTGAAGTCCAAAACATCTGGAGGTCTGAAGTTTGCCCATGCTCGGTGTGGATGCATCCATGGCCATACACGTAAAATAATGAAAAACTAATTTAGGCAGAAGTCTCATGTTGTCTTTTATTCCTGGCTATTCTCCTACCACTCCTCTATTTGAGATATTTGCATAATTGCATCCTTTCATCTGGATTCTAATTTTGTCTAAAATAATGCAGTGTGGAATACAATACCATGAAACCTGTTCAAAAATAAATCCCTCTAATTTACTGTAGGGGCAAGTTCAATTCAGACGTTTTTGAACTACAAGTCCCGGCATTCCCCTACATTGGCTAGGGTGGAATGATGCATGATTCCCACCCCTCATTTAATGGGATGTACCTAAGAAAGTGTGTACAGTTGCAGCCACAACTAATTATAATGTTGCTCATATTATCTGCCAGATCTTTATCAAAAGCAAAATGTGGATATTTCATGTTTTGTAAGAAAGATCTACAGTGGAATGAAAAGGTACAAAAATACTTGTTTAAATGCATCCTTATACTTCAGCCAAATTGCTTTTTTACTGTCTCCTTCCATCTGTTCAGTGTAAAAAGATCATTTCCTGTTTTATCTGCCTATATTGGATGCCAAGAAAGTCAAATGTCTACACCAAGCAAAACCACACTCCTTTAACTGAATAAAACATTGCTGTTTGGAATACATTTGTTATACTTATGTGCTTAGTATTTTACCAGATAACCTGGTTTCTATATACAGTACTTTATATAGAACCAACATAGTTATCTTCTGAGACTTTCACAGCTGTGATCGGGAGGAATGCTATGCTCTCTTCTCTAGGCATTGTGTGTATCTGTGTTTGTGTGTGTGTGGGGGGGGGGAGCACTAACCGTTGGAGTTGTAACCCCTGCACTGACGAATGGGGTTGCCATGCCGGACATCCTGGCGCCTGCTCCGCCTGTGGGGTGTGAAAAAAGCAGCTAGGTAAGAATCTGGAAACTGATCTCTTCCCAGTAGCAGGAGGAATGCCACAAAGTGAAAACCCCTTCCCACTCACTGTAAAATTGCTTTTTAGCCTTGTCTCTAGGCAGTAGATCCTGGAATAATTTGAGTTAATAATGGCATCCTCAAATCCTTCCATTATATATTTCCTGCTCTGAAACAATAATCTTAACCCTACCTAGATTGTACTGCTTGGAATTCCACTAGCCTATGTATCTCCTGTAATGATCCTTGATTACAATCCAGTATATGTCTTGTCTCCATGAGACCACAACTATGTATTCACTGTGAATTGACAATTGACTGTTCCTACGACATATTTATTATTTATTTATTTTATTTACTCCATTTGTATACCGCATTTATCAGCCTGGAGCGGCGACTCAATGCGGTTTACAGTAAAAATAAACAGTGAACAATAAATAAGACGCACATCGACAAACAATACACATAATCATCAACGCCTACTTAGAATCAGATCCCGTTCTCATAGTCCTTAATTCAATCCTTGTTCAATGCCGTCATTATTGGGTGGTTGTTACTGCATAGCTAACCGAATGCCTGCTCATAGAGCCACGTCTTAACCCTCCTTCGAAACACCAGCAACGAAGGGGCCTGCCTGATGTCCACTGGTAACGCATTCCATAGCCGAGGGGCCACTACCGAGAAGGCCCTGTCTCTCGTGCCCGCCAGCCGCACGACATACAGTGCTTTTAAACTTACTTTGTCCTGCTTTTAACAAAGCCAGGGGATTCTCCAGAGTCTGCCGGAAATTCAGAAGTATCGTGGGGCTTAAGGCAGTCTGAACAGTGGGATTGGATCCAATTTGATTTGATTTGCTCTCTAGATGGACATTACTGCCATCAACTTTTCCCTGTACCTATCGGTGTAGATTAGCCTGAGACTGCCTCTGAATTAAAACTTGGAAAGTTAAATTATTTGAAGTTTTGCAGGGAATCCCACTTTATGTCAACACAGTGAATGATCTAGAAGGCTGGCACAATCAATTTTCAAAGACAAACCCAAAACACTCCCAGTTTTCTTGGAAATAGCATAATTTCCACAAGGTTCTTGCCCCCAGAACCATCTTTTAAAGATTTCCCCAAATAGTCTCAGTGAACACAGTTATCACTTGCCATCCTCTCAGCTTTACAGTACCTCTTGGAGGAAGCAGAGTAACGTGAACAGGACTTGCCATCCCAGGCACAGTAGGGGTCCCTGGCAAGGCAGCAGTCAGCACAGGCCTCTCCGTACACATCACAGCGGTGAAGGGCCAAGTGTGTAAGTCCAATGGTTGAAGAAACATAGAGCTGTTGCTGTTAGGCATCAAAGTAATATTCAGAATGTCAATGGAGGGCTACAAGTTCTTCTGCTCCCACACTGGGCAGGGATGTTTGTTTTATTTGAGAGCAAATGAGCAGAAACACTCTCCTTTACCCATCCACCCACATCTCTTTTCCAATCCACCCAGAACCCCCTTGATCACTGCAACAGCAGATCCTCAAGAGGTTTAAAGAATGCCAAGAAGTGGAAGGTGGGGAAGGTGGGAGTCACAACCTTATATTTTCTGGCCTTTCACCAAGATAGTCCCAACTAAAAAATATAACATTCTTTCCTTCCTTGTGCCAAGCCAAGGGCTGATTCAGTAATTCCCCCAAGAAGGGAAATATACACTTACTCTTTTGGAAGAGATGGTCATGGTCTTGATGGGGGCTGGAACCTATAGAAGAACCACATTATGGTAAAAACAGAAGTCAGGGTTGGTCAAAACATATTTTAGCACTGACCAAAATGTCACAGAAGTGTGCAAGTTATCACAAAAAAACAAAAATGGGTTGGGTAAAGTGTGTGTGTGTGCATGTGTGTGTGTGTGTGTGTGTGTGTGTGTGTGTGTGTGTGTGTGTGTGTGTAAGACAAAAAATGGACTGGATCATATGGTCAATAGTCTAGACAAGATGGACATTGCAGATAGAGTGAAGAAGAGTTCATTGTGAAGGTCTCATGTTACAACTGATGTGGTTTGCCAAGATGCACAGACAATGCTGCTCTCCATCACTGGAGACAAAAAGGCAGGCTTAAACGCACTGCCTTTGTCAAAGCACACTGGCTCATTAGGCACATTATGGTAGTTAATTAGTTAATTCATGCCTTCAACAGAAAGAGAGGGGGGAGAGAGAGAGATTGCTTTCCTGGGGGGTCTTTGGAGCAGTTTAGAGAGAATCTAAGTGGAAAAGTGAGCAACCCAATCTTACGAATGTAAGTGGACAAGTTTCCTTTGGTTGGTCGGTCAGTGTAACAATCTAGGGTCTGAAATCCTACTATCATCACTTCTAGAAATTTTAGATAGAATGTTTTGAGTATTTCACCTTTTTTGCAACACTTCTAGATAAGAAAGAAACAAACATTATCATCTCTTTGCTTTGAGATAATGATGCCGAGGAAAAAGAGTGTTCTGCCTTGGGCCACCTGCTGACTTAACAGCTGAGATGAATCTTGAAAAAGGAACCTGACAGCTCACAGTAACCACCAATATCTCACCCCAGTTCCTAATCCCACATACTTCACAGGATCTCAGAATACCAGGTACAAACTGTACCTTACCTTGAACACTTCCACTTCTTCTAGCATCAGTTCTTCTGTTTCCATATCATCTTTAGGCAAGACTATTACTTTCTGGACTGTACCATGATCTGAAACAAAAATATAACAAAAGAGGGAAGAAACTGAGTTTCTATTGATTCTTCTCTTTTTCATCCTTTCTGGTCCGAAGTGTGATGTTTCAGTATTAATATCAACATGGCTGATAGCACTAGCCAACTCTCCAAATATTCTGTTTTAGAGAATTGGCTGGATGAATCTCTTTGATCCAGAATTCTGTAATAAAAAGATCATCACCGAGAGAGACCAATTTCATATAAATGGCTGCAGCTATCTGTATGCATTCAGTCTTAATATTTTGTGATTCCAACATTTTCAAAACTGCTAACATTTTCAACAGAATTCAATGTGCATGGCAGGAGTTGGGAATCTTTTGTGACTCCAGGACTGGATTGGATCCAGAGAAACACATAGAGGCCACAAATAAGTATACACCCTGTGAATTTTGCCTTCTCCTTCCTCCCACAAGTGAAGAAAACAAGGAATAGGGCAGGTTGGCTCCTAAATGAGCCAGTCTTAAGAGTTTGGTTTCCAAAAGGGGGTATGCTCCAAAGGAACAGCTTTATCAGTGGGATCTTCAATCCTTTGGGGCTAGCTTAAAGGGGTTAGGGAAAGAAGGTTGTACAAGGTTGTCATGGATAGTTATATGGGCAGGAAACATTTCTAGGACAAAGAGAAAAACTGAATTGCCACAGTTAAAGAAAGGATATTGATACAAACACACTTGTGCTCTGTGACGGATAACAAGATCATGGGGATACTTGAAAATTATAGTCATAAAGGGGAAAAGAGAGCAATCACATGCAAGTCTCGAAGAACCAAATGGATCTGGCTTATATAAATGTATAATGTGATACTTTCAGAGATCTGGACCAGGCATGCCCTTCTTTGGCCTGTCCAACACTGACCCTTTATAATAATGATTTCACTTCTGAAGGTTCCTCAAACCCTCTAGGTAGGAGGGTATGGCCAGTATTGTTTTGCTTTTTCTATCCCTGACCTGTTTTAGGCAAGGAAGTTACTTCTGGTTTGAAAAAAAAGACCCCAATCCTTAGGGCTAAAACACACCAAAGGGTCAGGGAAAAGTGGCAAAACTCCCCTATGTGATAACCTTCCCCAACACAATTAGATCAGTACCCTTCCTCCTGGCCTTCAGAAAAAGGGTAAAGACTTGGCTGTGGGACCAAGACTTTGGGCAGTGAGCAGTATAAGGAATGATCAGGGATTATGTGCAATAGATACGATATTTGGAACGGCCTGAACTATGATTGTTGGATTGTGTGATTTTAATTGTTTATATTGATATGTTTTTAATTCCAAGTTTTAATGTTGAGTGATGTCACATTTTATGATTTAATTGATAATAGTATGTTATTATCATTATATTAGATTTCTGTATGTGAGGCATTGAATTTTGCCCTAATTTGTTGGGAACTGCTTTGAGTCCTCCGCTGAGGTGAGAAAAGTGGTATATAATAGGCCTGGGTAACAACGGAAAAATTTGTTTCTAAAATCGATTCGTTTTTTGGGGTTTTTTGCGTTTCGTTATTTAAAATAATTACAAAATTTTCCTTAAAAAAAGTTCGATATTTACGAAATTTTGTAAATGGTAAAAAAATTACAAAACAATAACGAAACAATAACGAATCGATTCGTTAATGGCGGCCGCGATCGCGCAATACGCTAAAAAAACTTCTGAAGCTTCCCTCTCCCTCTGTTGTTGACTGTTGGTGTGATATAATTTTTTTTCACTAATTAAACAAAAAACAACTATAAAACTTGCCCCAGACATGCGGAAATAATAACGAAACGACCTCAAACCAATAACGAAACGAATACATAACGAAATATGAAGCATTTACAAAACGTATTTAAAAATTCGTTTCGTTTTTAAGTTGCTCCAGAATGGTTCGTTATCATTTCATTATTAAAAAAATTAACGAATTTTTAACGAATTATGAATTAACGAAACGAAACCGCCCAGCCCTAGTATATAAGTGAAGTAAAGGAAGGAAGGAAGGAAGAAGACACACACACACACATTTTTAAAAAGAATCCTACACAATAAGGAAATTACTCTCTGAGTTACAGGTCCAAAACCCCTGTGTACAACTTCAGTTGAAGTTAGGTTCAACTAACACGATACTACTGACATTAGTGTTGTCTTGAGCTTCTCGTGATAAATTGACACAATTATCTCTTTTGAAGTATGACTTCAAGAGAGGTTTTTGCTCCATCTTGCACATAGCTGTATTGCCCTCATAACAGAAAACTACATATTTCTCTCCAATATTTGCTGGTTTCACATTTTGCAGATCTGATTATTTATGGATTTGATTAATATGTCCTTCCAGAAAATCCCTTCTAGCACAACTCTATGGACAACTTTTGCCATAGAGCTGCAATGGAGAATCTAGTTTCCTAGAGATAATGCTTCTCTGATCACAGAATTACACTGGAGGATCTGAGGATTATTAGGATATAGTACAGTTTCACTTTTTAAAAGGTTTTACAGCAGGTGTGCACATACTGGTGTGGACAGATTTTGAGAAGAAGTCTCATAGCAAGTTAAAAAGCCTATACTTTGACATAATCAAGACTGAATTGTCAATGAAATAAAAGAATAGAAGGGAGGAAGTGCTTTAAAATTGGCCGTTTATTGTTAAAATAACCCACAACAGAGTTTCCAAGGACACAGTACATATGCTCTGAAACACATAAGGTGGCGAGGAAGTCCTTCTCTCGTAGAGTTGCCAGAATGAAAACTGGAGACAGCTTTGCTCCTTTCATGACTGTTTGGAAGTGGGAATTTCAGCAGTTGCTTAGTATTTTAATGCATGACAAGCAATACCTGCTGAAATTCCCTCTTATAAGTAACAATTAAAAGGCCCATGAGCCAACTCCAATTTAGCAGCTCTACTAACACTCTTCTTGCCCTTTTTATGACCAGCAACCCTGCTTAATGCATTCTCATCACTGATCTCTTTTGAACCATGAACCTGAATCTTGATTACCAGTTCATGTAGCTAGAAAGGAAACCGAAAGAGGCATATCTTGTCCAGGTTGCAAAGCCATTCCTCCATTCTGTCTGCAATCTGAACTGAATTCATCCATCCATTCATTCCATGAGGTGGCCCAAATTCCACAGATCATTCAGAGGTTTTTGCTTCTTTTTGCAGAAGGAAGCAACCCAGATCTGGAGATTCGTTACACCTATGACCAGAAAGAAAGAGGAGACTCCCTACAGAGTATGACAGGTGGCGGTGGGGCTGTGCACAAACTGTGCCGGGTGCGGTGCAACAATCTAGGCAGCCCAAGCAACAGCTGTGCAGAGACAAAGCCTCTGCCAGCTAATGTGAACTTTCTGGGTCGTTAGCATTCCTGGCCACCTGCTTGGAGGGCTAGCTGTGCTCCCCCGGCCTGCTGGGAGACAAGGGACTCACCTACAGCAGAAGGGATGGCATGCAAGCTTTCTCCCCACTGTGACTAGACTACACATGTCCTCCTTCTCATATGAATGCACTTAAACCAGACATCTCTTCATCTAATCTTTGTCCTTTTCTTCACCAACTCTGTGGGCGGCAAAATTATTTTACTCCACTGCTTGGATGCAAGGCTGGATGCAAGCAGAAAACCTCTGCTAGTTTCCAGGAAAAGTGCATGCTGCCCAGTTCAAACTGGGAATACGTTACCCACTCACTAAGCTGAGAGCAGAATGCTGATACTACTAAAGATAGGCAGGATGAACATCTCTTATATGAAATTCCAAATTCAGAAATACTCCAAAATTACCCATATAGGGAGATAGGGACACATCTGCTCTTTGATGGTTCAATGTGCACAAACTTAGTTTCATATGCAAAATTATTTAAAATATTGTGTATAAAATTACTTTCAGGCAAAGTGCATAAGGTGTATATTTAAACAATAAAAGAATGCAGTTTAGATTTGGATCCCATCTCCAAAATATCTCATTATGCAAATAAAGATATTTCAAAATCCAAAACTCTTCTGTTTCCAAACATTTTGGACCATATATACTCGACCTATAGTTTTGTGCTCTTTCATACCTATGCATAGGCGAGCCAGACAACTTGGTGTGTTCCAGATATTTTGGTCCACAACCTCCATAATCTCTGCCTGTACTAGCTTTGGTTGATAGGAGGTGTGGTGTAACTCAGAGGATACAAGTTTGCCTGTCTTAGTTTTGGATAAAGGCAAGGCCTGAGCTTCTTGGTGGCCAGATTTGTGAACAGGAGTTTGGATGAGATTTCAAGGGAATTCTCACATTGGGTTGTAGGTTTTTTTGGGCTATATGGCCATGTTCTAGAGGCATTCTCTCCTGACGTTTCACCTGCATCTATGGTAAGCCTCCTCAGAGGTTGTGAGGTCTTAGCATCATAGGAGCTCCTAGAGACTTTGTTGTTCACTCAGGCCTGAAACATCTTAACTGAAATTCTAGTCCACATAATTCTTTAAGTTTAGGTCTAATGCCTAAGAGTTATTGGTTTGGCCTGGGGGGGGACCCCAAGGAAGGGGCTTGCTGACTGAGCAAGGAATGGAGAACTGGCAAGGAATGGAATTGTAGACACCATGGGTAATGAGTAAGCTAATTTCACCATGAATAAAGTAGTAGTATTTTCAGTTAATATTTAGGAAGGGAACAAAGGGATAAATTCTTTACAGTGGGGTTCCTCTTATGCATTTCCATCTGTTTTATATCTTTTATTTAGGGCTTTAAATTTTGCAACCAGACATTGCAGTACAGCTCAGCAGCACTGGCAGAAATGTCCTGCAATCAAGTCCTGCACTGACATCTCAATAGATGACTGGAATTTTTGGGACAACACATGCACATCTAATTTTATATATAATTTGTTGTAATTTTAAAATATATATTTGGACTTAAATTGTGTTTGAAATAATCGATTATTGTTTTCCCAATAGAACCCAGAAAGAAGCAGATAAGCACCCATCTGTAGGAAAAGGGGAAATCGTTCTACATGAAACTTCTGGAAAAAGGTCTTAGGAACCAGTGGATCCCAGTTTGATTTTTTGCATCTTTTAAATGAATGTCTTGGGGAAAAATATATGCTCTTGTGCTCCTGAAATAGCATCTTAGCACAATATCTGGAACGACTATTCCCATCACTCCCTTTCAATGGACTGTGCATTAGCTTGTTTCCAAATCTAACTGGATAAGGAGTACTGGTGAGGATGGTAAACAGGAAAATACAAAAAAAAAATTCTTCTCAGGCAGATGTTTACCCCAGTGACTGAATCAACCCAAAGTACTCATTTTTTTAGGTTGGGAAAGAGTGCTGATAGTATGGTGGATGGGAGGGTATTTGTGTGTTCTCTTCAGTGCACATCAGTGGGTACCTGTGCCCAGGAAAAGCACCTCATAGCGCCCATCAGCTGCATCCACCTGGTCCACGGCAATAGTTGTGAACTTGTAGTTGACGTTGGTCCTCACTACTAGCGGCTGGCGGTGTATGGGGTACACACCATTGTACATCATGGGATGAGTGCGCATGAAATTGATAACCTCATCAGGATAGTCCTTCGTAGATTTCATTGAGGGTGTGAATGTTCCTCCTGGACACTGGAAAATGAAGGCAGAAAAATGTGACAGTTGGTACAGAAGGCAAGGCATAAAACCCTGTTCTAGGACTTCTCCTTGATTTAGCAGATAGACGTGCTACAGGAATATAACACGGCCCAATTGTAGGTTCAATCTAGTTATGGGTTCTTCCTGTCTGCTCCCATAGTACAACTCCTGAATCCATATGCCTCCTTCAGGTAATGCACAATATGGCAACTTTTTACAGGATGATTCTTTCCTCTCCTGTCCAACATGGATATCAACTGCTAAGATATATCAGGTAAAAATGCTTTAAAGCCTCTGATGCTTTTTACTCAAGCAAAAAGAGAAGTTTGAAGACTCTTCCATATTTATGTTGGGCAGAGAACAAATTTTTGGATACTGGTACATTTCACTCAACTTTCCTTCAGTTCCCTTACCATACAGGATGCTATCGTACTCTTTAGATTTTTGCTGGGTTGAGGGGAAATTATATTATTTTTGTGATGGGAACTCTTACGTTGGGGGTGGGTGATAGTTATTCTCACAAAGCTTCAGAATCTCATCTGACCAAGCAGCTAAGTTAGGAGAGTCAAGACAGCCTGTTTCTTGCATTTCTGGAGGCCTCCCCACAGAACAGTTAAGAACATATATCTATTCTTTTGGGCCCTACTCCATGTATAAAGCAAAAGAGACCAGAGAGCTATATTCTCCAGGCCAATAAAATAAAACAATGAGTTGTCCTAAGTTTTGGGTATTTTGCCAACAACCAAGGGATGCCAGCAAATGAGTCTAGAGACCACCAACATGGAGAGGAAGCACTAATCAGCCTCCCACGCTGTGGCCAAATGTCAAGTAGTGAGCAGGGCTGAAAAGCACTTGGCTCCATCATAGCAAAGGATATGGATACCAGAGAAGGCCGGAGGAGCAAAACCAAGGAGGAACAGTGCAGATATTGAGAGTGAGAAAGAATCATGATAAGATGTATGTACATAGGGAGTGAACATAAAGCAGAAGGAGACACAGCAGCCGTAGCAGCTGTTCTCAAGAAGATACACACTGAACAGGAAGAACAACCCAAGTCCCTCCACTTGTGAACATCAGCAATCAATCCCTTCATTGCAATGATGAAAAAGGGAAAGGGGAGCGCTCACATATACACTGAGTGAGACCATGGGATTTTTTAGATCAAAGCTTCTCCAAATTTTCTTGGAGTCCAAAACCTATATGTAACTATCTGCCTCTAGTAGAGCTTGCAAGTACCTTGGTACAAGTAAATTTACATGAAATGTGTCACTCTTTGAATCATAACATCCTCAACATTGCCACTTTTTAAAAGCAACGTAACAAATGATATGTCAGTATAATTTTAGCATTAATAATTCATAATCCTTGCTTTTGGAGCATCATTTGTGAGCCTTGATACCATTTTTTAAATGTCGTTTTTGTTATAACAATAACATGATGTTATAACATTGTCATTACCACCACCATTGTGATGGCACTAAAAACCAATGTATTAGCAGTACTATAAATAAACAACACAAATGAGTTACATATTGTGATTAAAAAAAACAAGTCACAAGAAGAGAGCCAGCATGGTGTAGTGGTTTGAATATAAGACTATGACTTTAGAGACCAGGATTAAAATCCTCCCTCTGCCACTGAAATCTCCTGTGTCATCTTGAGCAAATATTGTTAAGAAAATGCTGTGATAGGCTTGCCTTAGGGCTGACATAAACTGGAAATTACTTGAAGGCAGACAACAATTATAACAACAACAAATTATTCTACTTCTATTGCCCCTTGGTGGTACATGGCCACTAGGCTGCAAAACCCTTTATTTCCAACAATGAAATTTAGTTTTTTCTTCGTACTACTTGAAATCTCTTTCAACTGAGAACTGTAAGGGATAAAACTGGAAACATTGGCATACAAAGGCCAAGCATTCAAGAATGGGCACAGCTAAGTAGAAGAGCATACACTTGGCCAGTATAAGGTCCAAGGTTGCATTCTGGAATCTCCAGGTAAGGCTTCTGAAACCCCGAATCAGTCTCATTCAGTGTCAATGAAATGGGTTCGCAATACAGATTGACCTATAGTCTAGTTATGTGTAAGGCAAATTCTTGGCCTTGTGCTGTGAAGTTGAGCTATAATTGTTCCCACCTGTCATCCTCTGGCCTTCCAACTATATGAATTTCTGTTCTGAACTATGACAGTGGCAAAGTTTATTTCATATGAACTCATTTAAAACAGCATACAAAGCTAGCGCCAATCAAAATACAGTACTGATTGAGAAATTGTAGAGCTGCATCTTCTTTTCTTTTCTGGGATTTTTTTTTAAAAAAAACTATTAATTGCACTCAAAGGCCAAGATCTTATTTGCCTCTCAGAAAGTGTTGACCCAAGTTCCCATCATCCCTGATCCTTGAGCTTGCTTGATGGGATCAATAGGAGTTGCATTCCATCAGAAACTGCAGAATAACTGTTTCCCACCTTAGAGCAAGAGATACTAAAACTGTGTCTTCCATCAGCAGATGATCCATGTTGTGCCAGAGCACTATGTCTCAAATGTTGATCCTTACACTGCACAAATCTTTTAAGAAAATGGCACCCGCATATAAACAATTGATGTACACAGACTTCTGCCTTTTTCAAAATATTACCTGTGTGTACATACAGTATCAGGACAGATGTTCACATACAAAACCTCTGAACTTGTAATGCTTAAATTTGTATCAGCAGGGACATCACCACTTCAGGCCTATGTCTCATCCACACTTACTGTTCCTGGACGAGGATAGGGCATTTTGCCAGTGTAGGGCATCCACTGGTAGTTGGGACCTTCCTTGTGAGCAAAAGGTCCATTGAAGACCATGCGGATGTCAGCCATTGAATAGACACACACTGCAGAGCCCTTAAAAACAGATCTGTGTAAGGAAACAGAGGGGCATCCGATGTTATTTATAAGAGGGACTTGAATCCCCACAGACAAAAAAACTGGTCAAAATGATTCCTCTTTTCTCCAGTGCATATCTCCAGGCACCTCCATTCTGTTTCTCATCACCAGTAAGATTAAACATTCATCTTTGCCCACCCTTGGTTGATAAAAAGACATTCACATGCCCTTTGTTAGCATGTACAATGTTAAACCTTTGTTAATGTGCAATGACACAGACCCCAGAAAAGAAGGGATTTCCTGCCTGGCACAGAGTGCCAAGTTAGCAAGGCACCCGCGGGGCTGGGGAGCGGGGGACTGTAGGTCAAAACAATGCAATTTTGGTGCTCTGGGACCAGCTCCAAGCAGCTGCTCAGAAACAAGCCATAGTCACTCTGATAAAACATTCCAGGATTAGTAGTTTCAGTCAGATGCATTAAGAAAAAATGGCAATAGCTGTTGCTGCTTTTGGTCTAACAAAGGATGTGATGCCCTCTTGACCCCAAAAGGGTGTAAGTAGATCCTGGGGTGTGCCGGTTGAGGAGGAGGTCTCCACCTGCCTTCTTCCCTGGAGGAATCAAGTCATCAGCTACAGCTGCTATGGTTTGGTTTATGGGAAAAAAACCCAAACTTGGCAAGCAAGTACTTCTAGGCTGTCATCCAACTCTGCCAGACAATTTCAGGATGACACCATCCAAGACTGTGATCCTTCATTGGCTAGTTAGGAAGTACATCAAAACTATCCATCAGTAGTAAACTGGGCTCCCTCTGGTTTTAGAATGATTTCACCTCTAGAGTTAAGACTGAAGCTTTTCCTTGTAAAGCTTTGCCTACTGAAGTCAATGAGTGCAAAGGAAAGACTTTCTGTATCTTGTTCCAAGATTGCACTCACCCAGATGCAGCAAAAGCAGCATAAATGATGGGGTTCTTCCCATCCTGGGTCTGCTGGACAAAGACATCCTCTTGAAGAGAAAGGAGAGAAAGTTAGCCATTCACATCATGCATGGGAGGCAAGATAGTTAGAACCCAACTTTCAGATTTAAATAAGCTTCCTTTGAGTTTTGATACAGAGTGCTGGATAGAAATGGATTTTAAATGGCAAATTCTTCCAACTTCCTTCTGAGATTTCTGGAGTCACTACTACCTACTTTCCAGCAAAACATTTTTTTTCAATGGACAGAGAGAGTGCTAAAAGTTGCATTGGGGTGACTGCAGATCAAGCAGGAGCCCTCTGTCTAGCTTCTGCTTAGAGGAAGCTGGCGGGTTGCCTGCTGAGCTGCTACTTTTGCTGAGAAGGGGATCTTCAGCCTCTACTATGCCATTGTTGGAGACTTTTGTTTGCTCCAGTTCTCAAAGGTAGTAAGCCCACCCATATAGTTTGACCCGCTCATGGGTGGGCTGACTGGGCTTGCTGTTGCAACCTTTTACAATGTTGCTAATATAGAACCCGCTTCTTGTTAAACACTTGCCTTGTGAAAAGCGAAACCAACATATAGTGTCTCGACAAAACATGTTGCCCAGTAAGCTCAAATTGAAGAGAAAAATGTTACCCAGAATCATGCTATCCCTGTCTTTCATTTTCCATCACAGCTCTACCATTTAAATATGACCTCAAAAATGCCTTGACATTTTTTTTAAATTGCATTTGACAAATGCTTTACTATGTTGTCTTGAATGCTCCCATCTCTTTTATCTGGGGATTTATTGAATCATGCCCAGAGATCGACTTTGTGGGCCTTTAGCTTATCTGAGCTCTCTGTGAGATTGTAGACTATGCTAAGAAGAAACCCTGTCACAGCTTTAGAGGGCTCTGCTAAATCATGATTGTACAAACATATGGGAGGTAGCATGTTTATGCAATTATTATTGACTAGGAATCAGTATTTGGAATCTAGAGTTATAGATCTCTAACAGATCTTTATTCTGTAAGACTATGGAGTCTTATTGTTCACCAATCTAAATGCCACTCTTACACAAGTCTGCTTCCCCTAGTAATTCTACTTAACCACTAAAAGCACCACAATGTCCCTATTTTTCACCTGTATAGAAAGTATCTTTACTCCCTAAAGAACCCCAAACAACAATAAGCATCAGAATCATAGAACAGTTACTTATTTACTTATGCATAACTAGATAATGTCACCTTGGACAACACACACTACTGAACCCACTGACCTTAGGTGCCAGGAGCCACTGGGTCAGACAAAAGAAGACCATTAAGCTTCGCATTAGTGTGCAAAAAGGATGTTTCCACCTCCTCTTACCGGAAACAGCTAAGTTGCAACAATCAGAAGTAGGAACATGGTTGCAACTTAGTGCAACTGGTGCAAGGGGGTGGTGCCCTGATTAGAGGCTGAGTGGATCTTCTTCATTCAATCTGGTTTCTGGCTCTTAAGGTCAAACCAGAAGACATTACTTAGTTACAGAGTTCCAGTACTTGACGTTGTTATTACAGTATGGCCTTAGTATCTGTGAGACCAGTGCCCATGGTTTCATTTATCCACTTCCAACAAAATATGGCATTTTCTTGGTCTTCCAGCACAACTCTGTGATATTCATGGGTCCTTCATTTCAAAGGGTTTGCTATTATCCACAGTTTTGCATAAACACATAAGTCCAGGAACATATCTCCTGTGTATATCCCCTGTGGAAATGGCAGTCATATTGTAACTGTAGTAGCAGTAGGAGTTGTTGGGAAAGAACATTTTTTTCTTTACAAGTGAAAATTGTGTACAAATATCTTTACTAGACCTTGACTCACATGGAAAAGAATTCTGGGAAACAGACCTAAGCTTGCTGGCTACTGAATGGAATTCATTATATGCCTTGGCCATCACCAGCCGGGTCTCAGAACTATCTTGCACTTACCCATCTCCTACTACCAAATCTATGTACCAATTTTCCTTCTCTGGGTGTACTTACGGAGTTCATCAAAGTGAGTTTCAATCCCATCAGGCCCTGGAACAGAACAAATGAGTCGTGCTTTCAGGAACGTGCTCCATTTATTCACCAGACAGCAGTGCCCTCCATCATCATTCTAGACCAAAGGAAAATAGCATTAAATGAATGACAGAAAATGTTGTGCGGTGAAAAGATCAATTGGCTGTAGTTGGATCATACTGGTACCAGTGAGATTTACGATGAATGTAAAATACAGTTAAGACCACAGCACAATAAACAGAAGGAGAATAAGAGCAGCAATGGAGTTGCTCATAGCAATAAGCAATAATGGACCCAGCCTTTCACAGGGACCTTAAAGGAGAGTCCAGGTGCATGGACCTTACAGTGAGCTCTCCAATTCTGTTTCTCCTCCCTTGCACATACCAGGCAAATGCGACCGATGCGAGAGTAGACCACAGGGCTCTGTGGCGAATCGGTGGACTTCTCTCGAAAGAAGAAATAGAGTTTGTCGTCATTTCGCTCTGCACTGTCTGGGATGAGCTGTGCATGGACAAATGCTGGATCTGCAAAACCAAGAGAAATAAGCTGCATAAAGAATAAATAAAGGCAGTGTTTGTTCCAGTCTCTAGGACTTCTTAGAAATCTGTGGCTGTACTAAAATCCATGTGATTTCTTATTGGAACTTGAGAAGAAAGTTTCATCTTCACCAGAAGATGCACTGACTTATCTCTAGTTAGACACAAATTTTCTTCCTCAAACCACCCTTAAACAATAAAGCATTAGTTTACTCTAATTTCCCTGTGGAGAAAGCACATTGCTGAGGATAAGAAAACTGGCTAAAGGCTCTACCATTTGACAGATTTTCTTGGGATATTATTATGAAAAACATTGTTTATTCAGTTAATAGTAGCAATTGGCAATATTTTATCTGTCATACTGCACTCCTTGTATACAATGGTAAATTATGGAGGCTTCCTCTTCCTTACAGGCTTGGTTTTACACTCCCAAGCTGATGTTTACTTTACAAAACTATATGTTAACCTATAGTGGCTCTATGTACACAAGTTGAGAGAGTAAGCAGCATGAAGATGGCATCTGTCTTCACAAACAGATATTACAAGTTTTGTTATAGTTCTGACAGTAACCTGATCCTAAGCCTCACTATAAACTGCAAAGGAAATAGATATTTCTAAGGTAAAGGTAAAGGTTTTTCCCTGACAAGTCTAGTTGTGTCCGACTTTGGGGGTTGGTGCTCATCTCCATTTCTAAGCCAAAGAGCCAGCATTGTCAGTAGACACCTCCAAGGTTATGTGGCCAGCATGACTGCATGGAGCGCCGCTACCTTCCCGCTGGAGCGGTACCTATTGATCTACTCACATTTGCATGTTTTCAAACTGCTAGGTTGGCAGAAGCTGGGGCTAACAGCGGGAGCTCATGCCGCTCCCCAGATTTGAACCTGCGACCTTTCGGTTAGCAAGTTCAGCAGCTCATTGGTTTAACCCACTGCGCCACCGGGGGCTCCATATTTCTACACCCCTTTTAATAGCATACTGCAAAAGTGTTTGCAATTCTTTATCACATGATTAATCATTCCAAAAGCTGCCATGGAACTTTGTGAACAGTGCCAGCTTAGCGAATCCTGAAATAAAACTAAAATTTAGTGGAGGTATTTTTTGCTGCCAATGACAGTTCAGCTCTGGGCTGGCATTTTGCTGTGCTTTTGTTGATCTGCTAACACTGAATTCAAGACCTAGGCACGCAAGTAAAAAAACAAACATGTGGATTCAGTACCATATTTTCACCAACTGACTCAATGCCGATTTATTTATCCCATACATCTTGCTTAAAATATAGGTCCCACAATACTCAAGGTAGCTTTTGAAAATTTTAAAATACCAGAGCTTGCCAAACTTCTATAGTTTTGGACTATAGCTTCCAGAATTGGGAATCTAGGAGCTGTAGTCCAAAACAGTAACTCTGCCAAGTTCTAAACTTTGTCAAGTTCAGGCAACATCTTTCCTCCTGCTTTTCTCCCCAACAACTATATTTAAACTGGAAAAAGTTTAGCACCTATTGCTATCCACACATACCACCTAATCATCCACAGCTATAGAGCTTTGTTCTAAGGCACTTCACTTCATGCATCTGATGAAGTAGACTTAAGTCTATGAAAGTTTATGCTACCAACGTCTTTCTCAGCTAGTCTAAAACAGGGGTCCTCAAACTTTTTAAACAGAGGGCCAAGTCACAGTCCCTCAAACTGTTGGAGGGCCAGATTATAATTTGAAAAAAATAATGAATGAATTCCTGTGCACACTGCACATATCTTATGTGTAGTCCAAAAAACACTTAAAAACAAAATAATACAATAATTAAAATGAAGAACAATTTTAACAAATAAAAAATATATTTCAATGGGAAGTGTGGGCCTGCTTTTGGCTGATGAGATAGGGTTGTTGTTGTTGTTGTTGTGTGCTTTCAAGTCATTTCAGACTTAGGTTGACCCTGAGCTAGAGCCAGGTAAATGAACTTGGAGGGCCATATCTGGCCCCTGGGCCTTAGTTTGAGGACCCCTGGTCTAAAAGGTGCTGCAAGGTCCCTTTCCATATTTTGCCAAGTTCTGTAAAATACATATTGGGGGAGTGGGCAGGGAACCCTATTCTGTGTGAGTGTACCTCCAAGTTGCCTGAAAAACTGATGGTGGTTCCATGAATTTTTTAGAGTTTTCCAGACAAGCAATACTCATAAATGGTTTTAAGAGCAAAGAAACAATTTAAAAATTAAAGCAAAAAAAAAAATTAAGATTCTGGGAGAATAGGTTTGCCAAGCTCTGTAAAACACACTGCTACTAGAAACCAGAAAATGCTCTAGATCAAGCACTTGAGGGGGAAAAAAAGATTTGCCTCAGTAAATTATCAGTTTTTTGAAAATCCGCCCCTCCTCTGCACTCCAAAAAAAAAACTGTTCTGAATTCCTTCACACCCCAAAGCTTGCTGTGATACAAACTTGTGCTGTTAGAAAACAAAATTGGATCTAGGGCTGTTTTCTGCCCTGCGGCTCTTTTTGTGGAATGTGATGATGACTTACCATGTGCCTCCAAGCAAAGCTAGAAAAGCAAATCTTTGTCAGCCATTAAAAAAGAAGTGAACATACCATAATGGTTCTTGGGGCTAAGCAGCTGTTTGCTTAGGCCACTGCAGGAAACACAGCAGCATGATTGATTAACTAAGCCCTCCATCTACTGAGCAGGAGCCCTGGACTCTGTTCCATGTATCACCTCATTTGTAATGTAAAACAAAGCAGCTTAGATTCCTTTACTAGCAGAACAGGGCTTGGAAAGGGAAAATAGTAATGAAAACCCCACAGACAGGGAAAGTTGGTTAAGGAAGTGAGGTAGTGTTCCTGAAACCTTATGAAATGATGCCCTCCTAAACCTCTGACTTATTTTCTTTCCCAGACAGACAACTCTTATACACACAATGACTATATCTGGAGAGCATGTGTAAGGACCAAAGGTATATACTATATGTATGTGTGTGTGTGTGTGTGTGTGTGTGTGTGTGTGTGAGAGAGAGAGAGAGATTGAGAGAGAGAGGGAAGGAGAGAGAGAGAATGGGATATATCATATACTCTTACACATCACCACCACAGGATGAAAAGTGGCAGTCCTCTAGGCTTTCTCCGCCTGAGGATCCTGGCCATTCCCTTCTGCTAAGACACAGAGCTGTTTACACCATATGGCCTTACATACAACCCTAAACCAGCCTGCTGCCTTCAAATGCTGTGCAAGCCATGTCCCATCACCACTGTTGGAACTAAAATTCAAACTCTAGTTCAATTCACTCCCATATGGAGAATCAGCCATTGGCTGCCCATCTTGCCCTTTCCCTCAAACAGAATAGTATTTGGGTTGTTGTAGGTTTTTCTGGGCTATATGGCCATGTTCTGGAGGCAATTTTTCTCCTGACATTTCGCCTGCATCTATGGCAAGCATCCTCAGAGGTAGTGAGGTCTGTTGGAAGTAGGAAAAATGGGTTTATATATCTGTGAAATGACCAGGGTGAGACAAAGGACTTTTGTCTGCTGGGGCTAGGTGTGAATGTTTCAGCTGATCACCTTGATTAGCATTCAATGGCTACGTTCAGCAAAGGACAAGAGGGATCCTCTCACCTCTGCGGGAGTCTACCGTGTACCATGCAGCTGTGGGCAAGTCTACATAGGGAACACCAAACACAGCAATGCCCAGACACAAACCAAGGAACATGAAAGGCACTGCAGACTAAGTCAACCATAGCAGAGCACCTGATGAACCAACCTGGACAGCATATTATTTGAGAACACAGAAATGCTGGACCACTCTCACACCCACCATGTCAGACTACACAGAGAAGCATTGAAATCCACAAGCATGTGGACAATTTCAACAGAAAGGAAGAAACCATGAAAATGAACAAAATCTGGCTACCAGTATTAAGGACTCAAAAATCACAACAGCAAAACAACAGAGGGGAAACAAACAGGCACATAAAATCACTCTCAACAAGGGATTCCCCCCGGGCACTTCCAAGCCATTGAATGCTAATCAAGGTGATCAGCTGAAACATTCACATCTAGCCCCAGCAGACAAAAGTCCTTTGTCTCACCCTGGTCATTCCACAGATATATAAACCCATTTTTCCTACTTCCAACAGACCTCACTACCTCTGAGGATGCTTGCCATAGATGCAGGCAAAACGTCAGGAGAAAAATTGCCTTCAGAACATGGCCATATAGCCCGGAAAAACCTACAACAACCCAGTGATTCCGGCCGTAAAAGCCTTCGACAATACAGAATAGTATTTGCTTGTCCTTACCTGTGTCATTTAATATCTTGGGAAATTATAAGCAGCCAGCCATTCTTTTAAACCACTGAACAAAAAGTCTGAGCTGTGACTGTTAACCTAGGCATATGGTTGCAAGTACACCTGTCTGGCTCAAAAAATGATGGTAACAGTATCTGGGAGATATTGCAATGGAGGGTGGGTGTTGATATTTTCTCTACAGTCACCCCTGTTACAGAACCATAAGGAAGGCATAATAATCGAGCATTTGCTTTCATAGATAGCTCTGTTCAGATTACTAAAATGACATTTTTCTAAACCTGATCCCCAAACCTCAGTTTACTCAGCTGCTTTAGCTGTTCCGTAACAGCTGGAGGAGCAAGCAAGAGAAGTCGAAGATCTTCTCTCATTGGATCCCTTTCCATGATGCATGCTGGGAGAGAGGGAGCAAGAGATTAAATGCCTGGGATCAGTTATCAGAAATGACAAGAACACAAAACTGCCCTTTACCACCAACTGTGTGAAGAGAAAATAATGCCAGGGACAAAATGCTTTTGACTTAATAAAATGGGACATCCATCAGTCACAGGAGCAATTTAGGGAACCAACTAGTCAAAAACAGGCATCCCTAAAACGCCAAAACAGCCAGGCAGCTGAACAAAGACAACATTCATTGGAGTGTATATTTTTATTGTCTTTGTAGAACAAAATGTCCTTGCTATCAACGACACCTTCAGCCATATGAATGACAAAGTCCAAACAACTAATGAACCTTCACAGGGTATTTGGGGGATCTGCAGCATCACATATTCTTCCTGCCAATAATACAGCATTTTAGACTGTCTGGTGCCGACAGAACACAAAAACAAGTCAGGAAAGCTCTACTTTACATTTCTCAAGGATTAGACAGAAAGCAAGGTCAAGGCAATAGACAGTGCAAAGACAAGGCTATATCAGAATATTATCAAGGAAACAGGAGAGAAGGGACTGCTGTATGAAAGGGAGCATATCAGAAGTACATGGAAAATGTCACAGGAGCTTTCTAGCTGCAAACAGAAGAGAAGCAATGAAGACGATAATTGGGTCACCAGGAAAAGAGGTGGAGGTCCATGGAGCTGGATTAAGATTCCACTAGGCATAACTGAGTCCTCTGAGTTGCCTATATGTGGACAGATGAAAGAAACCCATCACAGACAGCTAATGCTGTCTGGCATGATGCCTAACTTTTCAGGAAGTCAGCCTTGAAAATTTACTGTGGAAGAGTACATTCACAGAAGTGACATGAAAACAAGTAGGAGCTTTCTCAGAGCTTCTGCTTGTATCCCAATAAGTACTTTTTATTCAGCCTGATAACTAATTTTTTTAAAGAGAAAATGCTAATGAGGTGAGAAGATGGGAGAACTCCTCTGCCCCACAGATAGACCTTCTGCTGTTTTCCAAGGGAGAAGAATGAAGTCTGGCATACTTAAGAAGATCAATTTTGAACCAAATTCCAGTCTCCACTAGACACTACAATTATGCAAGAAGACTTGCTTTTAGTCTTCTACACTTCAACATCCACGGTTTTCTCTCACACCCCTTCACTCACCATTTAGCCAACGGGAATTATACTGGTCCGTCCTCATGGCAGTTTGTTTGCCCATGGTGCGGAAGATGGCAGCATCTGTGCCCATGAAATCAATGTAGACACCAGCATAGAGTTCTTCGTCTATGAGCAAAAGACACAGAGATCAGAAAAGAAAAAAAGGCATTCTCAAAACAAAGGAACATGTTTGCCAAGACATAATAATGTCACTGTCTCAAAACAGCTGCTAGGCATTTCCTCATTCACTCATCTTACTGGTTTTGCTCTCATTTCTTGAACTGGCTGATCTCGCTACTTAAGTTACTGCTTCAGTGAGCAATCTTAAATTCGTATATATTTGTACAAGGGAGACCAGAGCTTGGGGTATCCCATAGTTTTTATATATGTGTAATACTGGATGCAGGCAAATGGAGAAAATTGGGGTGAAGGCATCTAGACTTTCTGATCTTCTTGCTACATTCACACCATGTTCAAAGCTGCTCTTGGTCCTAACAGAATGGAATTATGATATTTTTAAGGGCAGGTTAATGAAAGCCTATAAATCGTTTAGCTTTCTGTTCAGTATTTGCATAGAGTAATGAGCATGAGGCCAAGCTTTGAACCTGCAACAGCTGACCTTTGTGGGTGGCATGATAAACTCCAAACAGAGTCAGCACAAGGTCTCAGGTTTGCTTGTTGTTCTAACATCTCATCTACAGAGGAAAGCTCAAAATGATCAAAGGCAAGTGCAAGAACGAATAAAGACATTCATTGTGCACCCACTACCATTCCCAGCCTCTCATAGAAGAATTTGCATGGCTTTCCATAGAACTGAGGCTGGGTTAATTAACACTGCCACAAATCAGGTGCAGCCCTCAGCCAAATAAACCCACTGGCATAGGGAGACGCTTTTCCCAGGCCTGGGTCACAGCTGCTGTCAAATTAATTAAGAAGTTTGGGGCTTGTCATGTAAGTGGATACTGATGCACGGGCAAGATCAGAGGCAGGCAGGCCATATCAAGAGGCTGGGGGATTTGCAAGCAGTAAGAACATTGTCCCTTGCTGGAGCTGACTCCTAGAGGGGAGTGGGGTGGTGCAGCTGTTGTTGTGGTAGAAGGTCCAGGGTCAACAGAGCAATGATACCACACTTAATTATCTTCCTATTGTGATCTGATGTAAGGCCTGCCATCCCTACAGGAAAAAAGCTCTGTACCTTGTCCCATCTGTGGTTCTTCCAAAGCTGTGGAAGAGCACAGTATGTTTTTACAACCACTATTTTGGGCAACCATATGTGATGTTGTGTCGCTTCCAAACATCTTTGGGGATAAGAGGATGGGGGAAATCTTACCATTGTTGCTTTTTTTCAGGAGTGCAGTAAGTTTTGATGGCAATCACTGGTTTTAAGTCAAAAATTATTTTATTTTAGCTACTAAACTACTAAAGGAATTGCCAATGGAAGTACAGTGTGCCCCCCCCCCCCAAGACTACAGGAGGCCTGCAAGATTCCTACCCCAGATCTGCCAGATGGGATGGAGATGGGATGAGGGGGATGCAGGAGCAGCTAATGTCATACATGGCACTGGTCAGAAAATACAGTTTTAAAATCACCTTGGAAGCAAATTGAATATATATGAAGAAGGGTGGTGCTAGATAAGATAACATTCCCATTAATCTTCCATTATGTACCAGGAATTAAACAAAATTAGACATCTCCATAAAATGTGCAGCCACTTTGAATATGGAGTTCTTATCTGGGTGCAGCTGGCCACACAATGCCATGTATGAAAGGTAGACCAGTGGAAGATAGGCAAGTGGAAAATAGTGGATGCAGAGGAGTAACATAATTAGCAACACTTTGCCATGGAATTTCTAAGATCTTCGTTGTTCACCAAATCCCTAGTGCTTTTTCCCCACTTGAGATAGGTCATTGCACTTTAGTGGAAAATAAGTTCTGTCCCTCCATATTATTAGCCTCTGAGAGGCTGTGTCTGGAATCTCCAGCTGCCATCCATGCTGAAAATAGCTTAAAACACCCCCTGAGTACAGAATTTATTTTTCATTTTCTGGCATTTCTAAGAAACCCATCCTGCTTTTCTTGGAAATCTTGGTTATACATCAGAACTCACAGTGAATGTAAAAATTTTGGTAACTTCTTGAATGCCTTCAGAAAGATCTTGTAATGCCACAGGAATACTTTTTTTTTAACTTCGGAAAGTTTGATCCTACACAACCAAAGAACTCACTGATTAACGCTGATACAGTGTCCACCTTCGGATCATATGAGCATTTCCCTTTTCCTGATTCCAGCCTTTCTGGTTCCAGGTAGAATATGTAATCCTGCAATGTAAGACAACAAATAGACAAATGACCTATGTTACCACACACTCTTATCTTTGGCCTTCACAGCACCTTGAAAACAGAGGACATCTAAAAGGGTGTGAGATACTGCATGCATGGTTCACACTATCTAAACACATAATTCTAGGGTGGAATCATTCCCACCTAGGTTCTACCATCAGAACACAAGGAAACACTAGGACATGATACAACTGGGTTGTGGAAGCTGCTTTAAATAATTTCCCTTGGTGGTTACTCTCTGTAGTAAATTGCTTGTCACCATGAACCAAACTATCTTCCTGTCCTCTCCTGCTCTTATGCTACTTCCAAAGCCTCTAAATTATTTATTGATTGATTTGCTTTTGAGACTTTTTGTACCATCTTGCAAGCAAATAACTCACCTTGTGAAGCCAACTTCCAAACCACCAAGTAGACCATATTTTAAAACAGCTTTCATGCAGTGATTGCAGTATGACTCTGGACCAAGAGTAACGCAGGAACAGAAATTGTTGTCAATACCTTGCCAATTGATAGTATTCCCTTTGGCATCCGCATGTCACTCTAGTTACTACCACAGTGCGGTCTGCTAACTTACAATTCTGGACCAATTCTAGATCTGTTCTTTAAAAAGCCTCAGTAGAGTCGCCCTCAACAGTCACTTCCTTAACTTTTCAATAAAGTTATAGATCATTTTCTAAGTCATTCAAGATTCAAAATCTGTTAAATGTAAAAATTATCAGAGTAACTTTTCTTTGCCTAAAAAAAACCTGTTACAGAATAGGAAAAATGCATTGTTAACATGAAAAGTTTCAGAGTCTTTACCTACATGGTGTCAATTTACAAAGCCATGCAGACAAAAAGTATGAGTAAGACACTGCATCAAACATATAGCCATTATGTTGAACACCTTAACTCCACACCCAACTCCTGAAACACACAGTAAGAGCCAGGCAGCCAGTCGGACTGATGGAAGTCTGTGCCGGGGATGAGTGACCACTGTGGGAGACCATGATCAGCCCCTTCCTGCCAGTGATCAATGCTGTGATGAAGAATTGTACTTCTGCTCGCCATAGCATTGGCCATGGACAGGGTTAGTTGCATCATGCAGCATCCCATTCAGCTCTGTCACTCTACATGGGTAACTGGCTTTTAAGGTGGGTTTTGGGATCATTTGCCTTTGTGGCAATAGTATGATGACTTTGAATGTTAATACGAAGCAGTTACATTGTCGTAAGACTATGGGGTCCTAAATGTAACTTTGGAGTTCACTAACAGGATGCTAGTGATACCTCTGGTACTCATCTCATGGAAGCATCACATATCGCATTCAAGACAAATTTCAAGAACACCTTCACAGGAAACTGTTTCCCCTACAGGGTTTAACCCATTATATTACAATGAGAGACCTCTTGAAGACCAGCAGATATAATCACTGGGAATGATGGGGAAAATGTATTTTGCAGTGTGTGAGCACTGTTGATGTTTTGTTTCCAGACATAGTGCTATCTTGCCACATATGAAAGTATATTAGAAGTTGTATAGTTTTTGACAGTGTGTGAATCAGAGATGAAGTGTAATAAGGATATGTGAAACTGAGATAACTGGGTGAACGTGGCATGAGTCATACCTAACCACTAAAAAAATTCAGAGAACTTCTCAGAGCTTTTAGATGTCTTGTGACAAGTCACATCCTTTCCTTGGTATGAAATAACACATAATCACAGATCTCTCACATTCTCTTGGAAGACAATCAAAGGCCCACAAGCCACGATAACCAGAGTGGATGTGATGCAGACCTTAAACATTAGGCTGAAACATGCAGTATGTGTGAACATCCTTCAATTGCTTACATCACAAACAAATAACTCATTGCCCCATTCTCTCCCAAGTAGTAGCTTGCTGCATACCTCGGCATTAAGACAAAATAGTTAGAATGGTGGCCACATGTCTATGTGGCAGAAGGCTATGTAGGGACTGTCAGATCAAGGTGTCAGAATTAGGCCTTGAGGAAGACATCATCTCATGAGTAGGAATATATTTTAATGAGAAATGATTAGCTAGAAAAATAATACTTAGTAACGTGGCAGAAAAAAAGAGACACTATCGTGAGCATATGGAATCTGAGGTCCTAACACATGGTCTCATTAGGGCCAAGATTACCAGCAAAAAGAAGCACAGACACATCCAAACAAATGCCCAAGGAGATCCAACTAAGTAGAGGCACAGGTAGAATGCCAAAGAGTTTTGTAAGAAAGTACAGGACTACAATTGGACTGTCACTAGGATAGCAAGAAGATTATTTGCCTTCACTCACACTAACTCTGATCCTAAAATAGTGGCGCCTCCAGATGTTGACTATGCTGAAAGGGAAGATAACTGGCATTTTTTACAATATCTGAAAGACCTATTTTGCTTCCATCTACCTGGTTCATCTCCTGAGCCATTTCTCTATATGTCTCTGGTGAGATGCAACAGGCAGTTACTACACAAATTTGACACTGCTCAGAGAGGTTCGCCTAACAAGTACCTTGAAGCCTCTTTGGTGTCAAACGTATTTGTTTCCTAGTGTTTTTCAGTTATCTAACCTTCAGATTTCCATACTTATGCAAAACCCTTTCTCATTTGCTTGCTTGATTCCCACCCTCTCTTTCTGCTGTGCTCTCTGGTTTCACAGGCAGGCTATAACTTTATTAGAACCAACTACAATCCCTCAAAAGAATTCAGGTTTTCAAGTTAGTCAAACCTCTTCAACAGAAATTTCTGAACCAGGTTCTCCTAAACTTCTTACTGGGCCAATGAATAATATCACATTTCAAAAATGTCTGAAGTTTGATTCTATGTAGCACCTCAAAGAAAGCCTTAAGAGGGCATATAGGCCAAATGTCAATCTTTTCTACAGGCATCTTGCAATATGTTTCTCGTTTCCTCTGTAGGTATTATCACCATGTGTACTTTGTGCATACATGTGTATGTGTGGGGTAGTCTAACAAACAAATACACACAATACAGAGAAGTGTATTTGCACTTCATAAGTGAACTATCTTACAGGTCATAAAATCTAGCTTTTTCTTTCATATAAGAGTCATGAAACTCTGGGCAACCCTCTGATTTTCCACTTGAGAAATGTGATTCTGTCACCTGAATACAAGAGTTAATATACTTCCTTACATGGGAAATAAATTAAATATGACTATTATGTTTAGGATAAAACAGCTGTTGAACATTTAAACACAGCACTGGTTAGAGGAGTTGCCTTCTATTAACAGAAATGCTACAAACGCTAAATTTTGGTGCCAACGTAGGTTCCATTCATGGGTAGAAAAGTAGGAGAGGAACTTTATTTAGGCATGATGCTCTCAAGATGGTAAGTAAGATGTGAAATATGTTTGCTACACCTCCTGCCTCTTTAGACATCTCCATCATATGGGGAAAGAACTCTACTCTTATCCACATCTCCTTGCGCTAATGGCTTGAGAGGTCAACAATGGCAGGATATTACTGAAGGCTAGCTTCCTCTTTCTAACATATGTCAAACACATGTTGATAATGTCCAAGTGAATGAACAGAGTGCAACTGCTTCTGAAATTGCTCTCAGGCTGTTAAAATTAATTGCATAGTCATTACATAAATAGTGTGTTGAAAACAAGTAGCATATTCAAGCATTTAACGTTGGATTAAATTACTGAAAGCTAGGGTTTGAGTGAGGTCATCCACAGACACACACAACCTTGCAAGTTCTTCAGCCAGCAAGCAACAGCCTATAAGGAAGCCATACCTACAGTTTCTGACACCTTGACTCTTCTGTAGAAAGCTCTCACTCAGAATCATAAAGACAGCATACTTCCAGATTCCAGTGAAAAGCTGGATCCAAGTGGCATCAAAAAATGGACCAAATGCTAATTGTCAAATTCAAGCTGCTTAAGAAAATATAATACAATTTACGCAGTACACAAAAAGACAGTAGCAATAATGAACAACTATTGTAGGGTTCAGTCCAGATTAAGTCATGCTTTGAGTGAATAAATTGAAATCAATGATAGGCATTTATTTTAACTCAATTTCAAATTAACATGACCAAGTCTAGATCCAATCCACTGACTCTTCGAACTTAACAACACACAATTATTTATGCCAAAGGTGGAAAATCATAATGAAGTGGGGCAGTCCCTGTTCTGTAGCCCTCTGTAGACTGGATGAAATCCCTGAGACTCTACTTGGCAACTTCAGTCAGGAATCTGATATCACTTCTCCTCTTTCCCCTCATGGGAGGAGAAGAGGAGAAAGAAGACCAGTGTGAATGTTGCTTAATATTGTCAAGGCCCAAGAGCTCAAGACATCCCACTTCGTCTGTGTAAGTAAAAGGAAGGTGAAGACTGCAAATGCCAGCTCTCCTCTTTCCCCCTTCTCCACACTGGGAGGGAGAGGCAAAACCAGTTGTATCCTCTGCAAGTGGGTGCTGGACAAACCCCAAGGTCATTGGCCAAGTCTGCTTGTTGTCCTGTTCGGAATAGAGATGCACAATTTACAATGCAAATGCCCATTATTTCAAAACAGAAATAGCAAAATCTCAATTGTTCCAAGGTGAAAAGATTGTAGAAGATCTTCTGCAGATAGAACTGGGAACATCTAGAGTCCGGGTTAGGCCTGGGGAATGCAAATCCCCCACTCCCTGCTCTTGGCTCAGTTGAACAACAGCTTTTGATGAAAACAGTTAGGAGCAGTGTTCAATTAATCTCTGAAACTGGGAGATCACCAGCAGACAAAGGCTGGGAAACAAGGGAACTTCTGAGGCATCCATCTAGTTTAGGGCACCACACTTCTACAATCTGGGAAGTTGTGGATGTTGCTGAGCCAGCATGAATCTGTCTGCAGTGCTTCAGCCTTTTTGCTATGACCATCACTTGCTGATGGGCACAATGAGATATTTTAGATTTTAAACTTATTTCAAATTTGATAATGAAATCATAACTGCAACAAATTATTGAGATTTGAAATTCTCAGAGTTAGGTTTAATATTTCAAGTTGCCTGAATTTCCAAACTTTGAAAGCTTCAGCCTTAGCAAGAATTGTGTAGAAAATACAGACCATTTTTGGTTGCCCCATCTCAAATACACACAAGACAGGATCTATTTCCCAATTCAAGGATATTTTCATCTTATTCAAAGCCAATGGGGAAACAGAATATCACTATTCACCATGACCTTACAAAGAGGCAAATACACTCTCCTAAGGCATTAACAGTCAGGATAACCCAGTCTTTTGTGCAGAAAGCACTATGCTGAACCGGATTGGTTCATATGCTTGCAGTCAGTGGAGGGACTGCTTCTATATAGCTGGCGATGTTTTCATTTTGTTTGTTACAAGAAAACCAAGGAGCTGGGCAAGTGAAATGGTTCCTTGGCCAATCCAAGAAGACAATGACTTCTGTCCTCCTGACAAACATTATATAAAGTGGCATATTCTCTTGCCCATATTGTGTTTGCCAACCTCACTGACTGAATGACAATGACAAAAACAGAAAGGAAATTATAATGGTGGTTTCATGCATTGGTTCTGACTTGCAATGGCTAGCAAGAGGAATGTGCATGTCAAACCTAATTCATGTCTTCTCTTCCTCTTTAGAAAATGTTGGAAATTACATGGCATTGTTCACACTCTGAAACAAACACAACAGATTCACCCCACATGCCTACCTCCCACCATTATCATAACCTGAATAAGCCCTTCTGGTTATTCATGCAGCCCTGTTTCAGTCAAATACTTCTTTGGAACACCAAGTCTGCCCTTCTAAATGTCAAATAATCAAATACACCAATCTCCTCTGCACAGTATGGTATGAAAGAAAAATCCTGAGAGTGATATTTCCTGGCACAAGCCTTGAATGAGCCTGGGGAAGAAGCAGTTAGTTCAAAAAAGGGGGACGCAAGGAGAGGCTGCACAGGAAACGCGCTCACTGCTGAATGGGAAGGGGGGTGAACTTCAAGGCCAGCCCTGTCCCAAAGGGCCTGGCCTTTCCCCCCATGAGTTAGTTGTTAGGTGCATGCCAGTTGACAATGAGGGTTAGAGAGCCCAGGCTCGGGCATGCTGGAGAAGGAGCCAACTACGTCCTTGGGAAGGGAATGGCATGGCAGGGCAGAGCGCGGTTCCCACCTTGCGTTCCACTGGAGACGGGTGGAGGGAGGAGTCAACTGCTCTACTTCCCCGTCCTCCCTGCTGGATGGACTGGTTCAGCTCAAAAGCCTGAGGAGAGGAGGAGCAGAGAGTTAGCGCTGGCAGAGCAACCTGCCAGAGAAGCAGGAACGGCAGGGTCTGGCCAGAGAAGGCAGCATGCAGAAACCTCACTGCTTGGACAAATACAAACAGATGCTTCCACTGAGATAAAGGCCCCCTTTCCAATATTTATGTCCTACCTGGGGTCTTTATGTTTTGGGGACTGCAGCTCCCACCATTCCTTTTTATTGGTTATGCAGGCTACAATGGTTGAGAGTTGAAATCAGCAACATCTAGACGGTGGCAGATTCCCAATCTGAGCAACTCCTCAATTTTCATCTTCAATGGCATTGCTTAGTTACAGAAGTACCAGACCAGGAGTACTTCCCTGCAGGGATCTCTCCCACATCTTGAAAAGGTCTACTGTCCTGAAGTTATAATTTTTGCCCTATAGTCTCCCACTAGTTACAGGGTCTAATATTTGGGTAGCATGAGAAAACAGATCTTTATAAACCTGGAAAAAAGAGCAATCAAAATATTATGGAAAAAAATTAAGGAAGACCATTCTTTCCTAACATCAGGTTGTTCTATGCTACAGCAATTCCATACTGTGCTGGTTTGGTTGGCATCAAATGGGAAAAAATGTGGTTAAACACAGAATAAATATGATGCAAAGAATCTGACATTATTTACCATTGGTTCAGGAAGGTATTCATTTTTGGCTCAAAAAATAAAATTTTCATGTATCAGAGTGTGGAATGAAGTTTAAAATATATGCCATATGTTTTCATCAGCTCAAGGTCAGCCCTGTCCCAATGGGCCTGGCCTTTCGGTCCCAGCAGCCATAGTGAGTATAGCCAATAGTGAGGGCTGCTGGGAGCTGCTGGGAGCTGCAATCCCACATCTGGAAGAATGCATGTTCCTGGTTTGTAATGATACAGACAGAATAGCTGGCCTATTTAAACTGTGGAAAAGTATGATAGCAAGTACAAAAAGGTGATTCAAGATAAGATCAAAATTTCACTTCATACTTTGGGGAAAATCCATTAGAGACATTAAAATAAAGATGGAAATATTTTCACATAGACACACGTAGGTTTTCATTATGCTATTTTAATAGTCAATGATATCTAGTTCAAGGAAAATATAAGGTAGGAAACACAAAGCAAGTCATGTTTTAAAAGCAAGTGTAAGATAGATTTAGATTACGTTATATCAGATGAGTTTGTCCCAAAATGTAGTAGATGAAAATGAAAAATCTGTTTAAAAATAGAAGGGTTTTTGTTACTTGTCTATGCTGAAAGATTATGTATAGTAATGTGTTATATGCAACTAAAATCCCCATTGCCAATAGATATAAAGTAATGAAGTTTCATCAGTTTTGAAATAGCTCAGTAGAAAAATATCATACCTCCAAGCTGAGAGAATTGGAAAATTATGTGCAAAACAGAAAGAATCCACCAAGAGAAACAATTTTCATTCAGCATGGATGGATTTTCCATTCAGATGGATTATACTTTAGGGCTGCAGTCCTTTTGGGAATTGTTATGGAGGCTAGAACAGGGCTAGTTAAAACAACATGGAAACCTCGTGCAAACTGCCTGCAGTAATGGCATGTGGTTTGTTTGACTGATACATGCTAATGCAGTGGTTCTTAAATGTTCACTCCCTGAATGTTTTGGCCTTTAATTCCCAAAAGTCTCAATCAGCTTGGATAACTGCTAGGAATTCTGTAAACTGAAGACCAAAACATCTGGAGAACGAAGAACTGAGAAAGCCACACTAATTTATACAACATTGTATACATACCAATCAAAGCCTGTCAGTATAAATAAAGTCTAGGAAACCTGTTGCCCTGCATGCATCTTGGTCTACACTCATAGTAATCACAACCATTAGCAATGATAGCTTAGGCTTATGGAAGTGGCATTCCAAAAGATGTTGAGAGCACAGGGTTCCTCACATCTGACATGAAGTATGTATATGTCATCAAACACTCTTCCTCTCTCATGCCCTCACAGAAAACTGGCAACTACTCTGATTGCTACCTGTTGCAATTGGTGAAAAAAGGCAGGGTCCCATCAATCTAGATGATGTAAGACTTCCCCATATCCTCACCTGACTTTGCAGGCACACCTTAAACACAGGTCCTTTTAAAAGCAAAAACAAAAGGAGCTTGTTTGTGGTTCCGCCATTAGTTGTTATTGCAAGGGCTTGGTATTGAGGATAAGACTCCATTGGCTCAAAAATCCTTGGTGTGTCTGCCCAGCAGTTTCCCCTTTGTTTGGGATCCCTCTTTCAGACTACACAAACAGTAATTCTGTAGTGCTTAATCTTTACAACATCTCATAAGCTCTCACTATCATAATGACAATTGAGAAGACAGAAACACTGTTTGCCTGAATCTGCAGATCCCAGGAGCTGAGCCCAAGCTGCAAACCATTGGCCAGGGCAGGAAGGGGCAGGGATCGAGGCTAAATTGCATGTGATGCTTAAGAATATTTCTGGAAATGTATTTCCCTTTGTCTGTTGTCCAAATCCTGTGACAGTTGTTGCAGCAAGTCATGCAGAACAAGCACTATTCTGAATAGTAAGCTGCTGGCCCAGAAGAAAGATAAAGTCTGTGCAGTTAAATGAGGACTGTAGAGAGAGAGGAACCCTCTTCCTAGTGACAGTGTGAGTCACTACAGGTCCAAAATATACTGAGTAAAATCCTATGCCTTCCCTCTCTCCTTTCAGTCACACACACATACACACAGACTTCTCATAATGCTAAGTCTGGCTATGTCTTTATAACCAACTTTCACATTAAAAGCCATGAAAGCACCGGTAAAGCCAAGTAAGCACCAACTGTATTATGGCAGAGCTGATCTTGAGGTACCCAAACAGCTCTGATCACTATTTCGTCACTTTTCAGACCGGCAGTTGCATTTATATATTTGTTTATTTCATTTGAATTTGTATTTTGTTGCACGGAGATCTTTCAGGGTGGTAACTGGATTAGTTAACGGGCCTCATTCTAAAATATCTTCATCTTGAGTTTCTAGGGGAATGCGATAAGTGAGCATTCTTCCTCTAATCTAGTCTGAGTCTGGTAGTATGACCAATGCCATTCTTTCCACCCAGTAGAAGGGTGGTAATGGATGAACATACACATATTAAGAATACCTTAAACTAAGATGGCAATCACACAACCTTTCAGATGTCTCTGAATTGCAACTCTAAGGATTCCTCATTCCAGGCTTAGTTGACTACCGTTCAACAACATCTGCAGGGCTTTCATGATAGCCAACTCTGATTTAAACCGTTTTCCTCAGGAACTTGTGTATGTGGTATCAGAGGTAAAGATGGGAGCATATATTATGTCTGAATTATTCTCTATGGTATATATAAAACCATATCATGTCTTTTTTCCCTTGTCCTTGTGCTGAGCCTTAATTTCTGAAAGAGTACTATTGGATAATGATTAGTGTAGGTCTAACTCTAAGACATGGGAGTCCCAAGTTCAGATCCTGACTCAGTTATGGAGTTTAGGCATGGCACTATTTCCCAGCTCCTACCTAGCCCTCCTTAGATTACAGAATGCTGAGATGCTAAAATAGGGAGGTGACTAGATGTGTGTATACTTCTTTGAGCTATCTGGAGGAAAAGTGGAGTATAAATCTAAGAAGCAAATTAATGCAAGGGGGTGAAAAGGGCCCACATCTCACTGCTCAATACAAGATGCTGAATCAATTGACTTGGTGGGTTTAAATGCATCTGAAGACTTTCCCTCCTGGAATAGCTGTGATTGCAGTCTGGGATAGTTTATGGCTGGACACCAAGTCCATCTGATTCTCCAACACAGCCATCTCTGACTGTAGTTCTAGTTGTACGCTGCTCCCACAATACCTCACCTGTGCTTTGCGGCCCCGGTTGACAAAGGTGCAGACAGGGTTGTATGCTCCAGTACCACAAACATACAAGTGGGTTCGATTCCATGGCTGGATAAGACGAATGAAGTTCCCACACTCGCCCTGGAAAGTAAGGGAACACATTTTGTTAGTCTAAACCCCCAACAAAAACCCTAACCTCAAAAAAGGGCAGCGAGCAATTCCATCCTCTGTTTGTCATAGCCTACACTACCTCACCTATATCTTCCATTTATGGAAGATATATATGGAAGTAATCAAATAATTGCTTCTGTATTATATGTATGCTTCCTGGAGAGCCACTAAGCCCCTCACATCCCACTTAATGGTTTGCAATAACATTTCTTGACTGAGGCAGCCAAGGAATGGTGATCTTTTGGGAATCAGCACATAAATCTTTTGTTTCAGTTCCCAACAGTCATGATTTGGGTGTACTTCAGAGACAATTATCCTGCAATTCGTCTATGCCAGTCACTGCCAACCTTGTAATTGGCAGTTAGATGATTCTGGGACTTGGAGTCAAAAACATTTGGATGACATACTAATTAGCCACAGCTGTTCTAAAAGTATCCCTTTTGGAACGTTTTAAAATAAATTACATTTTGGAGTCTACATCCCTTCTTCATGTCTTACACTGCACCAGATCTGTAGCTAAAGTACAAATGGTGCAGCTTGGTGCTGCCCCAACAGCCAATTTTTTGCAGGTTGGGGAAAACAACAGCAGTAACAAGTTGGTAAACCCAGCCTCTTATTCCTACTTACTTTCAAAACCCAGAGAAAATTCTATGAATAAACCCCCACATAAATAAAATCTCATTTTAGTGGAATGATGAGAGTCTTTGGGCCTTATCTACTCGGGGAGGCAGAAAGGAAACGTTTTCAAGACAGCCCCTGGCTGCCTGCTCATTAAGAGGCAGGAAGGCCTTGGAAACAAACCAACCCACAAAGAGTGGTTTGAATAACTGTTGGGTAAGTGATAGTGGTGAGGCCCAGAGGGTAGGTAGAGCCATTCCCAGAGGGTGCATACACTGTGTTGTCAAGGCGGAAGCTCATTAACTAATTGGATTCAAAGCCAGGCATGGGCACTTGTGTCCAGTTTCCTCTTCACAGCTCATGTTTCCTCTTTGCTTCATGCCCCCCAGTTAGGGGGATCATGCAGAACTGGGCAGGAGCCAAGGGTAACAGAGTTCAGTAGGGTGGGAAATATGTAAGCAAACGCGGTTTCCTTTACTAAGCCAGCTCGGCTGCTCTGTGACTAAGCCCTGAACAGTAGCAGCTGAGAAATCTCTGGAGGACAGAGTTCAAGGTCAGTTGGCCAAAAGGCAGACTCTCCCTCATAGGAAACAGACTGGTAACACTTGACCTCTTGCGTCCTCCCATGGAGGTGAGAATAAAAGCAATCTACAATACTGCTGATATGAGCTTAGCTGTGCTTAAACAAATACTCCTAATTCCTCTCACCTACTGCTGACAAGGCATCTTCACCTTACTGAAAACTAAGCGAGTGTTCCAGGAACCAGCAGCAACAAGTTAGCAACAGAAGCAGCTGTCTTTAGATGGAATAAATAAATGAATAAAGTACTGGTCACATCTCCATCCTCTTGCAACAGAATCCAGGAGGAGGAGGCGGTCAAGCAGTTGCCTTCAGTAATAGATTTTGTATTTATTTATTTATTTATTTATTACTGTGCTTGTATACCGCCGTTTCTCAGCCTAAATTGGCGACTCAACGCGGTTTACAACAGTACAACAACAACAATATTCAGTTTAAAACCATAAAAACAACATACACAATACACAATATTGGCCCATCAATAATAATCTAATGCATCTCTTAACTAAAATTGCAATCCAATTTCATCATCCATATTACCAATCCTTTAGTCATCAAATTCATTGTACCGAATTAACCGAATGCCTGTTCGAACATCCAGGTCTTCAATCTTTTTCGAAACACCATCAGCGAGGGGGCTGATCTTACCTCCATGGGAAGGGCGTTCCAAAGCCGAGGGGCCACCACAGAAAAGGCCCTGTCTCTCGTCCCCGCCAGCCGCACCTGTGAAGCAGGCGGGATAGAGAGCAGGGCCTCCCCAGAAGATCTTAGGGTCCTGGTGGGCTGATAGGCCGAGATACGTTCGGATAAGTAGGTTGGGCCAGAACCGTTTAGGGCTTTAAAGGCCAACGCTAGCACTTTGAATTTAGCCCGGTAGCAAATTGGCAGCCAGTGGAGCTGGTGCAGCAGAGGAGTTGTATGCTCCCTGCGCTCCGCTCCTGTTAGTATCATGGCTGCTGCCCGTTGGACTAATTGGAGCTTCCGGGCCGTCTTCAAAGGCAACCCCACGTAGAGAGCGTTGCAGTAGTCAAGACGGGATGTAACCAGAGCGTGGACCACCGTGGCCAAGTCAGACTTCCCAAGATACGGGCGCAGCTGGCGCACAAGCCGAAGCTGTGCAAATGCTCCCCTGGTCACCGCTGAAACCTGGGGATCCAGGCTCAACGATGAATCCAGGGTCACACCCAAGCTGCGAACCTGCGCCTTCAAGGGGAGTGCGACCCCATCCAGCACAGGCTGTAACCCTATACCCTGTTCGGCCTTGCGACTGACCAGGAGTACCTCTGTCTTGTCTGGATTTAATTTCAGTTTGTTCGCCCTCATCCAGACCATTACAGCGGCCAGGCACCGGTTCAGGACCTCGACAGCCTCCTTAGTAGCAGGTGGAAAGGAGTGACAGAGTTGGACATCATCTGCGTACAGATGACATCGCACTCCGAAACTCCGGATGATCTCACCCAGCGGCTTCATGTAGATGTTAAACAACATGGGAGACAGTATTGAACCCTGAGGAACCCCACAAGACAAAGGTTGTGGGGTTGAACAGGAGTCTCCCAGTAACACCTTCTGAGACCGACCCTCGAGGAATGAGCGGAGCCACTGCAAAACAGTACCTCCAAGACCCATCCCGCGAGGCGTCCCAGAAGGATACCGTGGTCGACGGTATCGAAGGCCGCTGAGAGGTCCAGCAGCACCAACAGGGACACACTCCCCCTGTCGAGCTCCCGGCGCAGATCATCCACTAAGGCGACCAAGGCTGTCTCGGTACCATGCCCCGGCCTAAAGCCAGACTGTGCCGGGTCCAGATAATCCGTGTCTACCAAGAATGCCTGGAGTTGTGAGGCCACCACACGTTCCAGGACTTTGCCCAAAAAGGGGAGATTGGAAACAGGCCGATAGTTGACGAATTGAGTGGGGTCCAGTGATGGTTTTTTCAACAGCAGTTTTATCACAGCTTGATTTAGCTGGCTGGAATTTTGCCTTCCTGAAGGGAGGCATTAACCACCACCTTCACCCACTCGGCCAATCCCCCTCTGGCCTCCTTCAGAAGCCAGGATGGGCAGGGGTCTAGGATGCATGTGGTAGCTCTCATTCCTCCAAGCACCTTGTCCACATCCTCGGATTGAACCAACTGAAATGAATCCATCAAAACCAGACAAGCAGATGCTCGTGTTACATCCTCAGAGACTGCCGTTAATATGGTATCCAGTCCAGAGCGGATCAAAGTGACTTTGTCTGCAAAGAACTGAGCAAAGGCTTCACAGCGAGCTGCCGAGTCATCAGGGCACCCATCCTGAGTGGTGGGTTTTAACAGGCCTCTGACAACTCGGAACAGTTCAGCCGGACGGTTCTTTGCAGACGCAATAGTGGCCGCAAAGAAGGTCTTCTCTGCGGCTTTTATTACCGCGGCATATGCCCTTAAAAAGGACACAAACCGTGTTCGATTTGGCTCACCCGGATCGAACGCCACACGCTCTCTAGTTCCCTCTTCTTTCGCTTCAACGCTGCCAGCTCCTCGGTAAACCAAGGAGCTGGTTTAGCTCGGCTACTTGAGAGGGGACGTTCTGGAGCGATCGTGTCTATTGCCCTAGCCATCTCCCCATTCCAGAGAGCGACCAGGGCATCAACAGGATCACCAACCGAGGTGGCGGGAAATTCCCCAAGAGCCGTCAGGAATCCATCCGGATCCATAAGCCTCCTGGGGCGGACCAACTTAATGGGTCCTCCACCTCTGCGGAGGTTAGGGGGTGCAGTGAGTCTAAAGCTGACCAGGTGGTGGTCGGTCCATGGTAACGGAGAGATGGATAACTCCTCAACACCGCCACCTTCCTCCCATCCCTGGCAGAAAACCAAGTCCAATGTGTGTCCAGCACTGTGGGTGGGGCCAGATACCTGTTGGGACAGCCCCATGGTTGCCATGGCAGACATGAAGTCCTGAGCCGCTCCCGATAAGGCGGCCTCGGCGTGGACATTGAAGTCCCCCAGCACAAGCAGCCGTTAGGACTCCAATGCCAGGTCCGAGACCACCCCCGCTAGCTCAGGCAGGGAGACTGTAGTGTAGCGAGGTGGACGGTACACTAACAGAATCCCTAATCTGTCCCGGTCACCCACCCTCAGGTGGACGCATTCAAAATTTGTTGACTGCAGGATGGGGCCCCTGGTCAGAAGAATGGAATCTCTATAGACCACTGCAACTCTGCCTCCCCGCCCTCCGGATCTCGGTTGGTGCCTACTGATCAGAGAAAATTCTTACTCATTTTCTTTATCACAGTATTTTTCATTAACAATGAGAAATGATTGTGAACTTTTCTCCCTCACATGCTAGAATAAATTGGATTTAGGCATAATGTGCCTTGACTCTGATAGGTAGCATCATCTGCCATTCTGCTTTGGGAGGCAAAATACTTTAGGTAGCTGAATGACAGGGCAGCCAGACAGCATTTGCTCAATGATTACCTAATGGGAGGTGTGAGCATTACTGAAGTACCACTGTTCGAGCATGCCTTCCAAAAGCATAAGCACTACATCAAAAGTACTTACATTAATGTTCTTCCCTGACAAGACACACTCGTCTATCCTTTGCTGAGATGCAGGCCAGTGGATCTGTCAGACAAAACAACATTTTCAGCCCTGTACCTATAACCACATAGAACCACATTAAGAGCAATATGTAATCCTAGTCCCAGACTGGTGAGTTTTAAATTGTGCATTCCAAGGGCTAGAGGGGGGAAATTAAAACAGGCAAACTATTAAACCCCAATGGCAAGGCACTCTGAAGGTTCACAACTTCTACACTGCAGAATGAACGCAATTTAGCACTACTTTAACTGCCATGTCTCCATGCTATGGAATCCTGGGATTTGCAGCTTGGTGAGGCACCAGGATTCTTTCGCAGAGATGGCTAAAGCCTTGTACAACTCCAGATTTTTATAGCGTTGAGCCATGTCAATTAAAGAAGTGTCAAAAATGCATTAATTCTACAGTGTAGATGTACCCTGAGATGATAAGACCTCTTAGAGTCTGTTGAATAGTATTAATTTCTTTTTTTATAGGCTATATATTATTGGCTTTATGTTTGACTGTTACAGAAAGGAAAGTTTGACTTCTTGGATGCATGTATACAACTGCCTAAAACAGGAAGAAGTCAGTTTAGCTTGTAGTATTTGTGCCTTTTTCTTTTTGGTGTGTAATTTTTCTTTTCCTACATTAGTCAGTGAGTTGTTCGTAATTATTTTAAGGTGTTTTTTTTTAAGTCATAGGGTGAAACGGCCCAGGAATTATCAGCTTCATTAGATACACTTCAAGCATTATACTAGCATTCTCCAATCTTGTGTCCTCTAGGCATGTTTGGGCTTCAGTTCACAACAACAGCTCCAGCTAAAATGGATAATGATCTGGGGAATGCTGGGAGTTGTTGTCCAGAACATCCAGAGGACACTGCTGTAGAAGGCCTCACTTGAATAACAGCAAAGTGACCACCTTCCACACAGTCATTGCAAGAGCAATAGATATGGTCACTCTGTAAATGACAGGCAATCCAATGCAAATTCGGTGCAGAGAATTTTAGAGAAATATATATTGGCTACTAAACCGAAATCTTCCCCAACCATCAAATGAATGCGCATGTCCCCCCCCTCCCAATTTTCCTCCCTGCTTCTGGCAAAAGACAAGAAATGCCCTTACTATCAGGGGCTCCCTGTTGATATCATGGAGATCCAGTGAAAGGATGTAGTCCTTGCTTCCCACATACATGCGGTCATGATCTTCATCCTTTAGCAGGATGCGATAGTCTGTTGAGTTGAGCAGGAAATTGAAGAAATGGGCAGTGCCGGTGGCCTTCAGCTCTAAGGGAAGAAACAGAAGAAAAGAGAGGTATTAGTTGGCTCCTGCCTTGGCCCTTTCTTGGTTCCAGATGTATCCTTCTGAATATGATTTGGAAGCAACAACCAAGCTCACAAAAAGCTGGAACACATTTGGCTCATGAATGCAGCAAAATACATGCATGTAGCCCACACTTCCTTATTCCAAAAGATGACTCATCAGACTCCATCAGTACACCATTATGCACTGAGTGTATCTTACAATGATTCCCAACCTTTGGGCCTCTAGGTGGTTTGGACTTCAGTCCAAACAGCTGGTAAGCTGGCTGGGATTTCTGGAAGTTGAAGTCCAAAACCCCTGGAGGCCCAAAGGTTGGGAACCATTGTAAGATACACTCAGTGCTTAATGGTGTACTGATGGAGTCTGATGAGGTTCAGGAACACAGAAGTCATTTCATCAGGTACATGGGAGAAAAAAAAAACACTTGCATTTAGTTAGCTGTTTCAATAACAAAGGTTTAACTACATCATATTATAATTGCAAGTTACTCATTTTGTGATGCAACTCTAATGTTTAGTCTTTTTTTAACCATTACAGAGGTATAGCCTCAACAAATGGTGGAGGAGGAATATCACATGGCTCAACTAGTGGCTTGTGCTTGTCTTATGCTTCTGAGTAAAATAAAAATACAGACTTCAACTACTACTTATTAAGAACTCAATGTACCTTTCCTGTTTTGGAATTATAGAGGAATTCATTTCTTTGATTATTAAGCCACTGCCTTCTTCATTCACAGCACAGACAGTGTGAAAATGATAAAAGGATTAAAACCCTTTATTACAGCTATTAGCAGTACTACTGCCCACATACACATAATCAGCAAGTGTCTGTTTTCACCAAAAGACTCTGGAGTTTGATTAGTTTATCGACACCAAGGTTCATTCAGCAGCCTATAGTATTCACTAGTAGCTACTGTGTGATTTAATTTAGCATCAGTTGGCCACGGACATCTAAATTCCTGATAATCTGCTCAAGAACCAGCTGCGTATGGTAAAGTCTCTCTGACATCAGAACATCTATGGTAATAACTGCCAATGGAGGATGGGTTCTACAGCTTGAACCTACATTTTAAGACAGCAAGAGAACAGTCCAGTCAATAAAATACCAAAAATGGGAAGACCAGAAAGTGTGAAACAAAGAGTGCATCTGACACCATCTTACCTGCCATGTAAGTTTTAGGGTGCTTTCAGACATGAGAAAAACCCACAACAAAACCCACACCTCCCCCCCAAAACATAGGCTTTCCCTGGGGGGGGGGAGTCTAGATGCCCTCCTGGTAACTACTGGGAGGGCACCCAGATGCTCAGAACTCCCCCCCCCTTACAAAAAAGCCCTTAAAAATTTAAAAACCTACCAGACTGCCATTAAGCTACTCCTGGCACATAGAAATGATTCGCAGAGCTGGAAGGGAGCAATTTTGCTCCCTTCCTCTCCCACCACATCATTTGTATGCACCAGGAGGACTGCTGGAGCAGCTTAATGGTAGCTCAATACTTTTAAAAAAAATAAGGCTAGTTTGGAGGGGGGCTTTGGAGGAGGCGGTGGGTGCCATCTTGTACCTTTGGGCTCCAGGAGCCCAAAACTATGAGATGGCTGTGGGAACTAACCCCAGGGTAGGAAGGAAGGCCTGGTTCTAATGGGGTGTTTAATTAATTTGAAACAACAATGGTTATTCAGAATTAATTTGCTTTTGCTGGCGGCGTCATTTGGATGCCTCAGGTAAAAGCCCAACAGTTCACATTTTGGGGCCTGTCTGGAAGGGCCTTTAGTTGAATGCAAATATTATCTTGAACCTGTTTTATTCAGAACAGGTTTGGATAACAATCAGATGCACCACTGCACGGATGTTTCTTTTTGTGCATTTTTACTATCTTCAGGTTACGCTGAGGATACTGTTCCATGAGACAATGAGGAATTTGAGCAATGATTAGTAATCAGTTCTTGATTATTACAGTTGGATTGAAATGAAGACAAGTGGAAATGCAATAAGAATCCATTGTTTCAGCCAAACAGTGAACCATCTGAAAACAGTTTGAAATATACTATATATGGTAAAATTAATAAGACTAGATTTAGGCATAGAACACAAATAAAATAACAATAAATATCTTAATCTGGAAGCTCTTTGTTCATTGTTTGAAACATTTAATCAAAACATAGCATAGATCTGTTCCAGTTTTGAGTGAGATGTGCAAGTAAAAGCAATGTGTCTATGTAACTGTATTTGTGTTATGAATACCTCTTTCTTCTTTCTTTTGTATTTTTGGAGAAAGTGTTAAGTTTACCTTTATTGTCTTAAGAACTTAAAATGACAGATTAAAAAATAATAACATGAAGAATTTAGTATTCTGTTTTCAGGAACCAGAAAGAAGAGAGGCTATATGTGCCAATAAATAGCCAATTGTTTATTCCTTTAAAAAGTTACTGAAGAAGGCCTTTCCGAAATGAGTTGGGCTTTTTAAAGGAAGAAGCAGTTGACCATGTATTGCCAAACAGAGCTTCTCCCCTCTCCCCCACACGATTATATATGTGCTTTTAGAACTCTCTCTATTTTTCTATTATCTAGTTTGACCAATAATATAACATCATGCAGCTGCATATAATATATCTCTCATAAGCCAAAAACATTTATAGCATACATTCAAGAGGTTTTGTTTCAGCTCATGAGAGGCATATGATATCAGCTAAAGGTCTTGTTAAAGCCTTGTAAACAAACCCAGAAAAATTACTAGCTGGCTATTGGATAAGACATTATTAGCCTATGTTTCCATGAGACAAAGAGCTCACACACTCTGTTTTGTGATCCTCCGAAAAATCTTTTTCTTCTGTCTATAGGCCATCTTCACAATGAATGTGTTCATGCTTCCTGTTTCTATCATTTGAATGTGAAAGCAACATCGATAGCAGTCTGATTTAAAGCGATGTTCACTATATACCCTATATTAACATTTACTAGACATGCATCTCATCCTAAAAGATATTCTCAAGATTCATCTTGGCAGACAGTTCACCACCAAATCAATTCACAATCTTTCCTGGCAACTACTTTCCTACATCAATAGGAGTATAATGCCTAGATTAGTGGTTCTCCTAATGCCGTGACCCCTCATGTTGTGGTGATCCCCAACCATAAAATTATTTTCATTGCTACTTCATAACTGTAATTCTTCTACTGTTATGAATCGTAATGTAAATATCAGACATGCAGGATGTATTTTCATTCACCATATGAAATTTGGCACAAATTTGAATATTGGTATGGTTGGGGGGGATGTTATCATTTAGGAGTTGTAATTGCTGGGATTTACAGTTAACCTACAATCAGAGAGCATTCTGAACTCCACTAGCAACGGAATTGAACCAAACTTGGCACACAGAACTCCCATGACCAACAGAAAATACTGGAAGGGCTTGGTGGGAACTGACTTTGAGTTTTGGAATTGTAGTTCACCTACATCCAGAGAGCACTGTGGAATCAAACAATGAGGGATCTGGACCAAACTTGGCACTAATACTCAATAAGCTCGATGTGAATACTGGTGGAGTTTGGGGAAAATGCTGTTTTTGATGGTTTTTGGTGACCCCTCTGACACCCCCCTCGCAACCCCACCAGGAATTCTGACTTTTCAGTTGTGAAACACTGATCTAGATCATGGGAAGTTGTATTCCAACTTTATTCTGCTTTGATCAGTCCTCACTTGGAATCCTGTGTCCATTTCTGGGCACACAATTCAAGAGAGATATTGACAAGCTCGAATGTCAACTGCACAGCAACCAGAAGGATTTTGTACATATAGACAGCTTAAGTATTTTTTTGCTGCTTGCCTCTCCATGCCCATTGATCATTCATAGATATTTTATTCACACAATACACTGTCTACTCTGTCCACTGGCTGAGAGATAGGGATATTGACTATTATGTTCTATGCACACAGTTTTGAGTGTGTGCCTTACATCTGGCCTCTAAAACCAAGAAATATTTAAGCTCTTAAATATTTCAGTCAGTTTCTTAGGCCTCAATGGATTTTGTTAAATCATGGTCCATGCTTTTCTAGTAGACTTGGCCCCCAACTCCTCTCAAATAAATGACAGCAAAGAAAATGCCATTTTTAAAAGAAGAAACCAACCAACACACTTCAGGGACAGGGAAGTAGAATGAAATTTACTGGCACATTTCTGGCAGGAGATCAGCATGGATTTCTTATTCGTCATCGTCTAGGAATAGCAACACAAAATGTCTGTCCCACTGTTAAAATATACTGCCGAAATTAAAACTTGGTGGAACTTCAATAGCCAAGTTTGGGGCTTTTTTTTTGCTAAAGGACTGTGAATTCAAATAATAAATCTTATATTCAAAACAAATGCTATCGATTCAGGAATCTTCAATTCTAGCAGGACATCCCTGTTCTATTCAGAAGCCACCCCACTGTGTTCAATGGTAACAAATCCAAAGTGTTCAGGACTTCATACTGAGTTTACATCTTATGCACTGGCTTTGTTGGCAGATTCCTGTCTTTTAGTGAGGAACATAACAGATCCTGCTTTCTTGACATTTGTCCATTCTAGTCCACTTTAATATGATAAAATGGTATTTATATTGTACACATCTCTTGTCTAGCATACAGCATACTACCACTGGGTATTTATTTATGTATTTATTTAATTCATTTATATACCACCCTTCTCACCCCTGGAAGGACTCAAAGCAGTTTCCAGCATATTCACAACAAAATTCAATGCCTTACAAAACATGAAAATTTAACATAAAACAACAGTAGCATAAAACTATAAATTAAATCATAAAATGTAACTACATTTAAACATTAAAACAAGGGAATAAAAGATATTAATATAAACACTAAAATCACATTATCCAGAAACATAGTCCAAGCCATTTCAACATCAGATAACAATTGCACATAACCCATGTTCGTTTCTTGCCCTGCTTACTGCCCAAATGCTT